GCGAGGTCTGCTGTGCCATGTGGGTCAGCTCCGGGGCCAGGAATCGAACTTGCACTGAAGTGGCCATGGCTTGGCATAGCTTTGCAGTGCAGCGCACCAACCCACCAACCCATGCGCCACCATGGGGGACCCCTACTTTTAGGACTTTAAATCCCACTAGAGTTTAAGAAAGTAGTGTTCTGTGAAATCCTAGGATTCCACAAAGGTGAACTGGGACCTACTTGCATCAAACACAGTCTTCATTAGTCGTGCTGTAGGTTGGATTCCCGCAGAAGTAGACTCTGTGATGATTTGAGTGCAAGTGGTTTATATGAAAGAGGATTCCAGGAACCGCAAGTTGGGAAGTGGGAAAATGACAGCGGGAAGGGCAGGTATGATATAGGGCAGATTAATGTTTGAGGTGAGTGGAGATCATCAAACTCACTGGAGAAATATGGGAGACATTTCATTCCATTATTCCATTCAAGTAATGCAAGACCAACAAGTCAGGAGATGACTGCCATGGTAAAGACAGCTTGTTACACGTACCGATGCCGAGAGGATGGGGCACACCCTGCCATGGGGGTCCCATCGGGGAGCACCAGGGTAGTCACGGTGCAGTGTCTTGGGAGTGAGGGCAAAGTGTAGGCAAGATGAGATGAGCAGGAAAAGGACTGTCTCAGTTGAGTAATTCTGGCAGGATCTGGAGCTCAGGGCTGTCCCTAGTTGAATGCCACCTGGCTGGGTGACCAGGGCAGGGATGTGGGGGGCCAGAGCACCCTGAATAAAGGAGGTGGTTGGGGATGGCTTCTGACTTGTTGGCTTCCTAATGAAAGTCACACTTGCAGGTGAGATTCTATTTCTAGAAAGTGGAATCGGAGGCACGCCAGGGAAAGGCAGGCCCCAGAATCACATATAGAAGCTAGAACACGTTTATGACAACAGCATAGCTTAGCACACAGAGTTGTCCTGTTGGGGGCATTGACCCCTCAGTTCCCATCTGTCATTGACTGAGGCTGTTGTAGTGGGTGTCAGCGACATCTCACTCGTGGTGTCAGTTCCCGAGGTGAGCCAGAGATGCCGGTGGTAAGGAAGTGGGGCGGCCTGCAGGAGGATGGGAGCCAAGGGCCCCGACAGAAGAGCGCTGACATTTGCCTCCATTCTATCTGTGCTTCACGTCTCCAGGTAAGAATTTCATAAAACACAAATGGGGGTGTGCGACTGACTTTAAAGGAAAAGTTGTGGAAACTCTTAAAAGTTTTGGGAATGACTCCACATATGGAGTCAAACTTTGTCTTTGGTTTAAGTTAGGTCTCAGGGCAAATTCCAGTAACTGACCCCACCTCTGGACTAGAGAATGATTCTCTTACTGTCCTTGACAACAGGACTTCTGGAGACCAAAACTGAACAGCAATAAACAGGTAACTCTGACCTGCGATAACATTACACACAGCAGCCCCTGGAGTCAGCAGTAGAACATGATGGGAAAATCTCAGAGCATACTGAGTCTCTGTCCATCTTCCCTTCCCCCTGGCCCATCTCCGGCTGACCCATCCTTATTCCTACCCCCAACTCACCCAACAGGCAGCAGTCCCCATTTTCCCCTTAATTGGTCAAAAAAAAAAAAAATTAACATTAGTGTTCGCACTTTGCAGAAAATGCCTCATGTCGTCAGCAGAATTTACTGAGAATTAACTACATACTCCCAGCATCCATAGGCCATCAGAATCTAGCCTGAATTTTGCTAGGCAAAAATTTTCTGTAGAAAAAAAATTTTGTTCCTCCTTTTTATAAAAAGCCTTAGCTGACATTTTTAATTATTTCTCAAATAACATCCAAGATAAGTTCCTCTTATTTGTGCATGGGCTTTGAATCACTTTCTGAATATCAGCAGGAAGCCCCGAAAAAACACAAAAGCCCACTGAAGAAAAAAGTCTTGAAGTGTAAAGTAAAAGTTAAAGAAGCCCCCAGTCTCCCCATAAAGCCCCTATCTTTTCTTCTACCATTATCATCATGGTGACACTTGCATTGTGACTGCTGTCATGGCAGGATTTGAGATCAATAGTTTGCCATATCCACTAAGCCTAATGAGCAGCATGGTGAATTCATCACTGGTTGAGAATTCCGTCTCTTCCTTGTTGAAGATAAAATTATGCCAATGCCACTTATAAACTATGCCCCGCCTCTCAGCATGCTTTTGTGGCCTCCATCCAGGCCTGCCATGCAGTCAAGTTTGCTTTTCATAATACCCACTCAGGCCAGAGCTGTCCTGTCCTGCCTGGTCTATGGAGGGTGCATCTGCCCAGGCCGTGCCATGGGTCAGCATTCCCATGATCAAAGCAAGGGGCTGTTGCCAAGGAGAAGGTCTATTTGACAGACAAGGTGCCCAACGATGAAAGAACTTCAGGCTGGAGAAGGAAAGCAGAAAGGGGAGTGCGCTGAGTGCACTAGCTTCCCCCGCTCTCCCCAGCTGGTGAGGCCACCCTCCCCTCAGGTAGCAACAGAGCTCGGAGGGATGTCAGTTCCAATGACCCTCCCTTACTAGGCAGAGCCCTCTTTAAGATGATTACAGTGCCTCATGCTTCAAATACCCATTGCAATTGTGAGTAATAAACTTTGGGGAGGTTATTGTTCTATTGCACCAGACCCAGTGAGTAAGCTGTCTCATGGCCATAAAACACTAAGTGAGTTGAATAAATGCATGAATGAAAAGGCACGCATGGCCATGATGATATTCAGCATCCTGCACAGTGCCTACTGCACAGCAGGTGCCAGCAAATCTATGAACTGCAGAGATGAACCCCGCACAGATATCTGAATAGCTATGTGGTAACTACTTACTGAAGCCCAATGAAAAGGTGAGGTATGCAATCTCCTTTTCTTATGCAAGAGACTCACTAAAATAATTGAAAAAATATAATGTCCCTTGATCTGGGAGTTGCATAACAGCTGATAATTATATCTTCACCCAGCTCTGAAAACAGCTATGGGTCTCAAAATATCATTAAGCTAAAGGACAATGATGGCTTGCCCAAGTATTTTTTTAATGGCTTCCATTTCATCCTTCCAGACTCATTATGGCATCCCTGTTCTCACAGACCAGCGCCGCCTGAATCAACAGCCTGCAAAGACTGACGTCTGAGCTCACAGGTCAAGCAACTGGGGTCGCCCTGTGCAGGTACCCTCCTCCCAACGGTACAGCGACCTTCAGAGCTCCAGAGAGACTGCACCTGTTCTTAGACTCAGCAAATGTAGCACACAACTCTGGATCGGGGTCCAAAACATGCTCCATCTCCTTTGGGGCCTTTTCATACATCTTTTTTCTTTCCGTCTGAGCTTTGTTTGTCTCCATCGGAGGGAAGTCGTAGTAGCCCTTCCTCTTGGCTTTGAGGCGCAGCTTGTTCCGATAGTGCTCAATGTCAGACTTCTGCTTCAGGGCCTTGTTCACCTGGGAAGAGACAGACAGACTCAGGCCACACACACCAGCTGGTTCGACAGGTGGGAGGCCTCTCTCCGAGGCTGTGACTCCTAAAGAGCCGCCCTAGGCCTCACCTGTGCTCTTTGGCTTAGCCAGACCCACCTGCGCCCTCTTCCAAAACCAGCCCATAATGGCGGCCTCAGATAGAGGAGCCTGGCCCTCCCCGGCATCACTCCAGACTTCCCATCAGGGCCCCTTTCTCTCTAGTCTGCCTAAGTCTGCTCAGGCCTACCCTTGACACTTTGTGGTCTGGAGCTCAATCCTGCCCAAGCCCTCAGCTGTAATTTCAAAGGACAATCCTCCCGATGTGGGAGTCTCTGCCTCAGTAGCCCAGGTAGGGGTGAATTGGGATGAGTGGGGTAAAGAAGGGCTGCAGACACTGGTCTGGTCACAGAGAGGAACATGGCCAATGTAGCTCAGACTCATCAGAGACATGGTAACGGATGGCTGTTACTGGACAAATGAGGATGTAACACCTACAGAGGACTAGTGATTTCAAGGGACAACCCTCAAAAGTCTGGTAAGTGTGAAGAAATGGAGGTCCAAAGTGTGGAGTTGGGACACCCCGGTTTTTGGAGTAAGTACTCCCCTCTATAGAGGCATAATGTGCAGTTACTTGGCTGCTTCTTAATCTTCACTGCATCCCACAAGCTGGCTTAGTATCACTGCCCATGTTACAGATGAGATTAAGCAACTTTCTCAAGGTCCTCCAGATCATCAGAAAGGAGCCAGGATTTGACCTCAAGCTCAAGTTCTGAGTCTGCACAGTTAACCACTATGCATGAAAGGCAAGGAAGTGGCAGAAGGTTCAAAGTCAAAGTCCCTGGACTGGAAGATTTCACCTGGGAGTGACTGGGGGATGGCAGTGGTGCGGGTCTGTCAGAGTTGAGAATTTTCTTTTAAGATTTATTTATTTATGCATAGAGAACTGGGGTGCAGGCCAGAGTTGCAGGGGCAGTGAGAAGATTCACCAGAGACAGAGTGGGGAGCAGAACAGGCAGATCGACGAAGTACACTGCTGAGGGGAGCAGCGGGCGGGTCAGGAGAGGTCTGCTGCGCCATGTGGTCACCTCCCGGACAGGTGAGGATCAAACTCCTGTGGAAGTGGCTTTCGCTTCTTAGTGCTGTGCTTTAACCTGCTGCGCCACCAGGGAGGGCCAGAGTTGAGAATTTTCATCTGGAAGTTGGCCAAGGGAGCAGTTACCTGGCAGTGCATAGGAGCTGGCAAAAATCCAGGCTCAGGGTCTTTGGCAGACCCACTGAATCAGGATTTTCAAGGCACATGAGAAATACAGAGGAGGTGAGAGGAGAACAGAAGCTTCTAGGAGGTCCCCAGGATATGAGAGAGGAGCTCCCTCACTTGTCTGACCAATGCTAAAGATGGGGGACTGGGCTACAGTTATCTTTGTGCCTCCCCTGGACTGGAAAGTCCAAGTAGCAAGCCCCAAAGCTTAGAATGCTGGGCTTCTGGCAATCAGAACCACGAACCCTGACCTGCCATTGCAGGTGCTTTAGACTAACCTCTTTTTGTTTTCTTAATTCTCTTCTATTTAGATCATTACCTTGAAATTTGTTAGAAGGGCAAGACTGCAAAAATTAAGGTCAGGCAGTACTCATTTCTGCTGAAGGAACTTTTCTCCTCGGTCCTCCCCTTTTCCTCTGTCTGTCACAGGTGAGTACAGGTTCAGGGTCCTCTCCTGAGACAAACTTACTTGCAAGTCCAATCTCTAACACTCATCCCCAACTCTTAGTGCAATGTTCATCAGAGTTCATTTGGGTTAATAAGCAAACACTCGTGGGAGGATAATTCTGCTGCTTGCAGTCACTCACAGCTTAGTGATGGAGCAGCACAGAGCTGTGGCTTAGGGTGGATGTTCTGGAACCAGACCAACTGTCCGGGTTGAAATCCTACTCTTCCTCTTCCTAGCTGTGTAACCTTGGTCACCTTACTTAATCCCTGCATGTATCTTTCAGCATGAGGGAGGGGGTATAATATGGTCACTCAAAGCACAAGGACATTTTAGCCCCAGAGGGACCTCATGTATGAAAGTGAGCTCTATCTGGCCCAGGTGTGTGGTAAGTTAAACCATCTAGGTTTGTGTCCTTATATGACACTCACATGATGATGGAATCACCTAATAGAGTATTTCTCAGAACTTATACATGACATTAAGCAGCACATGTCAGCAAGCAGCCCTAGCCCCTAGGGTGGTCGTGAGCATGTGTTCATACACACAGTTCGTTTAAATGGCCAGCGGCTGAAAATGACTTACAAATATCATTGTTAACATGGGGCTAGTAGGATTTCCTTGTAGGTAAGACCAAGGGAGAGAAGGGGAAGGGAGATGAGTAACTGGCAACAGAGTACTCAGTGGGTGGGCTTGGGTGGAGTGGGATGGAGGAGACACTTTAGCAGTATGAATGCAGTGTCGGGGGGCTCAGAAGTGGGAAAGGACGGGGCATCTGAAAGAAGGGGCGAGGCAAAATGTTGACTGTATAACTGGGTCTCAGAATGCCCTTCCTTTCCTTTTGTCCATTAAAGTTACTCCATTTTGGCCCCCCCCCCCACCGGTAGTACAGTGGGTTAAAGCACAGCACTATGGGGCCCTCCCTAGTGGCACAGTAGGTTAAAACACCTCACTGAGAAGCTAAAACCACTTCAGCATGAGTTCAAGCCCCATCCTGGAGGTGACCCACATGGCACAGCAGACCTCTCCTGACCTGCCTGCTGCTCCCCTCAGCAGTGTACTTTTTCAGTGGGCTGTTCTGCTCCCCACTCTGTCTCGGGTGAATCCTCTCAATGCCCCTGTACCTCTGGCCTGTACCCCAGTTCTGTGTGCATACATAAATAAAAAAAAGCACAGCACTATGAAGCTACCACAGCCCACTGCAGCACAAGTTCAATCCCTGGCCAAGGAGGTGACCACATGGCATGGCAGGACCCTCCTGACCCTCTACTGCTCCCCTCAGCAGTGTATTTCAGGTAATCTCTCTGTTATACTCCCCCACTCTGTCTCTCACCCTTACCCTCTGGCCTGTACCCCAGTTCTGTATGAATAAATAAATCTTAAAAAAATAATAAAGTTACTCCATTTTTTCCCTGATTTTTGTTTGGAGAGAGGAAAGGGAATGGCGAAGCAACGGCAATCAGCAGGCGATAGCAACACTCAACAAAACCCAAGGCCACTGGAGGACTGCCTATGTTTGGTCGGAAAGGATGGTAAGAACGCAGTGTTTCATGCAGCTCACAGGAGTCATGAGAATGATATCCTGTCCTTGAGGACAAATGTTCAGCTGCCCAAAGAGCTGTGTAAGTGATCACAGAGACCTCTAGTTGGGATCTGATATGCCACACTGCTATTTTAGAAAAGAACTCGCCTAGTGGTAAAGATGTACCAAACTAAAAGGCCTGAGGTCAGCTAACATCAGGCTGCGTTTTAGATGCTTTGTTTTTGCCACATTTGAAGAAACATAAACTGGAGTCCTGTTATTTTTTTCTAACTTTCGCAAAGATGTCCTCCTGTTGGTCTCTAATGATATGTTTAGACTGGTAGCATTTCACAGGTCTTAATTATTCTCCTGTTCTCCTTGTCATAGAGAAAATAAGAGAAGTTAGCAAGACATCCTCCGAGCCAGGAACCCATTTCTGGAATCTCTACTAAAGCAACATTCCAAGAGAGGTTCCAAGTCAGAGATGAAAGTTAGTATCAGTGGTCTTCAGACCCATCAGGATCAAGCAGTTCCTCACAGATGCTCATGACACGTGGCTCCTGGGGTTATGCCAAGATGTATAACCTGCACCCATTCATAAGATCACATCAGACAAACCCAAATTGAAGGATATGATCCATGATTACTGGACATGATTACTATTCAAGGAGCAATGGCCATGAAAGAAGCAGAATGGTCACAAAGGATGATGAAGGAACTAGCTCAGGCTGGAGAAGACTAAGGAGACAACTAAATGCCATGTAGGATCCTGGGCTGGAGTCTGGATCAAAAGAAGGTCACTAGCAGGAAAACTAGTGAGATTCAAATGAGATTTATAGTGGCATATCCATGTTCATTTCCTAGGTTTGGTAATTATCCTATGGCTTTTGTCTGCAGGGGTAGCTCGGTGAAGAACATAGAGGAACTTTCTGTGCTGTGATGCAACAATTCTGGAAGCCCCAAACTACTTCAAAATAAAGTTTTTTAAAAGCCATGTGTGAAATTACTCACTGTAATGTTATGGATAGCAGCCAAAACTAAAGGCAAAACCTATCTGGAAGGTTTGAATAACGGGAGAAGAGTTTTCCAGTCAATGATTGGGAATGAGTGTCCTAATCAATTAAGTCACTAGCACTGATCAGAAAGACAACAGCAATGCAGCAAATGCTTGAGATAGAGGATGTGAAATTATCTGTGTAGAGTGAAATTCTGAAACACACACAAGTGATCAAAAGCTTGTAAAGAAGGTACAAAAAATGGAAACAGGATATGTTAGGGTACTGAAATTATAGTGATTTTTCTTATTTTATGAACTTTCTATGCTTTTATGTTTTCTTTAAAATAATCTTTAAAAGAATGTCCTATAATTCATAAAAGGAAAATTCATGGGTTGGGGCTATGCTGTTTTCACATAAATAAGTGTCCTTAAGAGAAGGAAGAAAATTATAAGACAATCTGTCTCTAACACCACAAGACAGCAAATTACAGAGAACAGTTTAGGGCTCGCTTTCAATCCAAATGCCAGCAAAGGCCATTCCTTTAACGACCAAATGTAGCAAGTATCCATTTCTGTGACAGGGTTATGGGCCTGGCAGAAAAAGGGAGCTGAAGTTGAATACAGGTGAGACATGGCATCTGTCCTCATGACAGTCACATCCTAAGCAGAGAGGAAAAGAAGCAGACGTGGTGGCCATTAGCTGGGTCCTCCCAGACAGAGGGCTCTAATCGAGAGCAGTCACTAGTGTATCAGTGACAGCTCACCAGGCCTCTGATCACTGGGCTTCATGTCTAGTGGCAAAATTGTGCCCAAGGAAAGATGCAATGGTCATATTGGCTTTGAGAAGACATACAGGGTCCCAAGTCACAGAGTCAAGGGGCATCAAGCACATGATCAACAAATCCTTGCTTATTGGCTAGTGGTGATGATGATAGCATATTTATTGTGTTCTCAGTGCTCTATGTGTACTTGATCCTCAAAACAGCCCTATTTTACAGGTGGAAATACCGAGGTATAAAGAGCTGAACCTGCCTAAGATCACACAGAGAGTAAGCAGAAGAGCTGGGATGGTTTGCAGTGTGGCTTAGATTTCACAGTCTTTTGCATGCAATGCTATTTTCCATTGACGGGCCATAGTGAGTCAAAGAGAGGAAGAGTCCTGGACAGCAGCCAGGGGACCTGAAGATCCTGTCGTCATCCTACAGGGTGACACTGAACAAGACACTTGACTCCTCTGGTTTCAGTTTCTCTGTCTAGAAAAAGAAGAGGTTGGGAAAGAAGTGCTCTAAGTCTAAGACTAATTCATTTAATTTCCTTTTAAAATTTGGTGAGGCTCAACCCATCCTATATTTAGACTGGCCCAGTTCTTTTCTGGCAGAAAACCACAGGAGCTCCCCGAGTCAGGCCTGGATGGGGGAATGAAGCCAAGTCCCTGATGTGCATTGACAACGCCCAGCTGTTTCAGGGGCCATGGCAGGCTGGGGTGTGGTGCGAAAAAGACTTTTCAGCTTGGAGAGGTTTTGATTGCAGTAACGACAACAAAATATAAACAAATGAAATGAACAACCAACCTAACAACTTAATAACAGAGAAAAACCTAAGTAGGTAGGTGTGTGTGCACATATGTGCAATGCACGTGTCCACATGCATGTTCCACAGATGTGTTCTTAAACCTTTCCAGCCCACTGATCATTCTGCTGCAGAAGAAAGAGGAACAGCAAATGATTCCTATCTGACCCGCTTTCTTGCTCTCCATTAAACTGCATCCATCCATGTATCTATGTTTTGTCTATGTGTCTGTCTACATATGTGTTCCTGTCTGCCTGTATCTATGTATGTATATATCTATCTGTTTATGTGTCTATCTATGTATCTATCTGCCTATGTACCTATCATTTCTCTACATATGCTCTCTGTCCATCCATTTTTCTTTGGTGACATCATCATTCTCCAGTGTAGGCTACAAGTCCACTATAGGCCCTTAGGAATACTGATTCACATGGTAATATTCATTATCTCCTCCTGGAAGAGGGCAAAGGGTTTTTTTCAAACTTGCTACAAGTAGTGAAATTCATTTCAGAGTCTATTTGTGGGCCACGTCTCTGTCCTGATGACAGACACTTCTCTAGTTCTCTCTCAACTTAAGTCCCTCCCAGCCTCTCAGCATCTGACATCTCTTCACGGGCAGTTTGGGTGTGTTGTCAGGAAAGACAAAGCCTGTGTATGTGGAAGGGAGTGGGGAAATTTGTCAGTTATTTCTCTTTATAACTACAGCTTTAAAAACATACCCTTTGGGATTTCCAGTGAAGATAGGAAAGGCTCTGAAAAAAAATTGCCCGACAAATCCACTTTGGGTGACTGTGTCCTGATTCTTCCCAGGAGACTGGCCCATGCAGAGGTAAAAATGACCAAGAGAGCCCTGTATACCTGGACTCAACCTGCACTGAAATGACCAAGACCAGTGGTATGGCTCCCGGGTCTGATTCACAAGGGCCTGGCCACACTAGCTCTGATCCCTTTGGGTCCTGGGGCGCTCACCTCGCCATTGAGGACTGCCGGTTCCTGGCTCCTGTCCGAGGTGGGCTGCACCACAGGGAGGGCGGTAGGTTTTATTGCGATGAGCTGCACAGATCCAGAAGACGTGTCAAAGGGATCGGCAGCTGTCTTGCCAGAGTTGTCAAACAGAACTGCTCCTTCCTCTTCATCACTCACTGGCACTAAAGCACAACATAAACACAACAGTTTTGTGGTGTTAGGGGATGCTGCACCCTCACAGGGGAATTTATGTAAAATGCACAGCCTCAGGACATCCTGAAATGACCTCAGGAACAACAGCCTCTGATTCTGTGCCAAGGATTCCCTGCTACTCATAGAATTCTTTTAAATTTAAAGTCTGGATTATTCATCCTTTTATTGTGCTGTCCATGGGTAGGAAAGAGCTGGAAAGGTTTGAATTTAAGCAGTAAAAACTGTACTCTCAAAACTGTGATAAAATGCATCGGGGGATTAAAAAGTAAATTTTTCTCTATGCCTGAGTGGGAGATGGGGAAGGTGCAATTTGGCCCAGTCTGGCAACTGTTGTTAAAACAAGACCATCACCAGAAAACCAGCATTCAGCTCAGCCTCTGCCACTGAAGCTGCCAGTTCTTGCATTCTGCCAAGGTAACATGTCTTTCTGGTCAACTAGCCACAGTGATTGCTGCTGACACTTTATTTTTTTCTTTCTAAAGGCTGCTTCTCCAAAGATTTGGGTTTGGGTTACTTTTATTTGTCTAAAACAAAGGAAAGATAAGAAATAATCACCAGAGAAGCGAATATAAAGCTACAGACAACTCTCCTAATTAGAGTGATTTCCACCTACGCTCATTAAATGAATTCTCCTTTCTGACAGATAATTCTGCTGTTTGTTGAAAGACATCACCAGTCCACCTTGTGTTCCCAAAACTAAACTGACAGAAGTTTCAGGGCCAGTGGTATCTTGCCTGTTTACTTGTTCTTAAAGCATATTACCATTAAGTCGCTATAAGAATGACTGTTTATTGAGCATGGCTCGGTAAGAGATAAATTAAGCCTTTTCAAACAGCTAAACCAGTAGGCAATTGAGGAGCAAAATAGGTGTTATATAAAATATGAGGGTAGCATAAGTGTATTCATCTTTCTTCCTGTCTGCTCAAGAGAAGGGGAGGCTATTTAAATTATCGAGAAACACATAGTGTGTATCATTCTGTCACTCATAATCACAGATTTGTCAAATTAAGGCAAGTGAATTGTTATTTTACACTATGGCTAAAACATCCCAGAGTCTAACAACGAATTATAATTTATAGAGTATGTTTTGGTTCTGTGGATTTCTTTGCTAAAAAGCAGGCCACCAAGCAACTAACAAGAGAGAAGAAAATCTCTATCTAGCTGTGTACTCAGATGCATGTATCTTTTTAGAAGACCGGTTTTGCTGGGCAACTCTTGTCCACCTGGACAACTGCTATGAAGGCCTTCGTGGTAGCCAACTTTCAAGACGGCACCCAGGAATCTTCCCCTCCCAACAGGCACAGCCACGATGACTGAGAATGGGAATTGCAGAAATGACATTAAAAGACTTTTAAGTCGTAAACAAACAGTGTGGTTTCCACTTTGCTCTCTCGTGGACCACCTACTCTGGAGAAATCCAACTGTCAATTAACAAGGATACTCAAGCAGGCCCATGGAAAGGTCCAAGCGGCAAGAAAGCGAGACAGACTCCTGTCCATAGACATGTGCGTGAGTCATCTTGTACGTGGTGCAGGAGGCCCAGTCACATCTTTAGACCACAGCTCAGACCAACATCTTGACTGCACCCTTGTGAGATACTAAGAGCAGGACCACCCAGCTAGCTCACTCCAGAATTCCTGACCCACAGATTTTATGAGAGATAATAAATAAATATCGTCAATTCTGGTGCTGGGTGTAGGGGTGATTTGCTGTACAGTCATTAACCAACTGACACACTTCCTCAACAATGTCCTTTCTCTAAGCTTCCACACTTCTGTCCTTACCCCTAATATACAGCAGCCAGGATGGATGTCTCTTTAAAAGGTAACCAGGCCATAGTATTCCCCTGATCAGAAACCTCTGAAGGCTTCCTCTCTCCCAGAAGAAAACCCAGTTTTGACCAGGGCCATCCTTTGGTATAATCTGAATGCTTTGCTGAGTCCACTTCCTGTCTCTCCCATCATCCACTCTGCTCTACCCACATTGGCCTTCTTGACCCCATCACACTGGTCCCATTTTAGGGATTCTACATAGCTGTTCCCTCCACTCAGGATACTCTTTCCCCAGTTCTGTACAGGCCTAGTTCCTTCATTTTTCAAGTTGCTGCTCAAAAAATACTTCCCTTATCCACCTACCTAAAACAAATTGCCTGTTTTATTTCCTTCATAGCACTGAATACTCTCAATTTGCTGTACAGTGGGCCCCTGAATGCATTTACAATACTGTATCCATCCCTGAAGTTTGCACCATCTGTTCAGAAGACCTTCTGTATATAAGAGAACCCTTGTAGTTCAGACCTTATTGGTCAAGGGTCAACTGTTTTCATTCACTCAGCTCCCACTCCTGCTGCTAGAATATAAACCCCACTCCTGCCCATCCTTCAAAAGCCTGGTGCCTATTCTTTTAAAATGTCTCATGCAATTAGCTTTCAATAAGGATTTGTCAAATAAATGAGTGAACAAAGAAAGGGTTAAAATTTCCTGACTTGAGAAAGGAGATGCTGTTAGTAACTGCGGGACAGGTAAATGTGTCATGCAATCACTAAGTGGCTCCAGAGGGTGGGTGAAGAGATGGCACTTAGTGCTGTCATACCATCTGCTTGTGACACCCTCACCTCCTATCCCATGGGAAGGCTCGGTGTGTGTGTGTGGGGGGGCATAACTATTAGACAGGGAAGATATGGACTACAGTTTTTTATCCTCAGTCTCAAAAATGTTATATTGATAATTGTGCAAAAAAAATTGAGAAAATTAATTAGATGTCTCTGTTTTAAAAAGACTGTGGAAAAAAACATTAATGGGCAATACATTAAATATTAATATGTTAATATTAGTGAATGTTGTGTGAGTACAGCAGGTTCGTGGGAATATTAGATGTATCATTAGTCCCTAAAGATAAAGGCATATGAGAATGCTAAAGAAAGGACCCCACTGTCACTGAGGAAGTAGACTATAATTGTCACAGCATCACAGGAATTCTACTGGACAGTCGGCCCAGATCTAGCTGCCTCGTCACTGTGTTGTCGGTTGTGACTTCCGTAAATCAAGCTGGAGTAGGAGATTTCATTTCTTCATGTCTGAATTGGCATGGAGAGAACACTCCCATCTGAGACAGCAAATGCTCTTAAGCAAAACATGTTCTTTCCGGAATTGTCATTGAAGCACAAAGGAAAATAATCCACAACTAGAATCACTGCTCTCTGTTGTGGCTTACCAAGTAATAAGCAAGGCTTCACTTCATTGGGAAAGAAAGAATGAAAACTCAAACTCTTTTTGAGCTAGTAACTCAGAGAAATCCTCAAGGGGCTCTGCTAAGAATGTAGTAATCATCCTTTAAATTCTCTAATTCTTATCCTCTGGCCCAACTGCCCCAGAGCTGCCAGGAAGCAAGGTCTGATTCCACTCTGCACTCAGGCTGTGAAATCTCTTAGTGGCTTAAAGGAAGGTGTATGCTTAAGGGTTTATGGAAGTTTTTTTGCTCCTAAATGACTGGCGATGCAAATACCTGTATTATGTTCTCAACTTGAATTCATGTTCACTCCTTCCTGGAAAACACTCTTTCCAAGGTGACACTGGTTTTGCTTCAGAAGTTTAAGTATCTATGTTTGGTTAGGAAATGCCAAATTGTTTTGCTTTCAAATTCTAGCTCTCACACCTAACTTTCCCACTTGTATTTAAACTACTCCTGACGCACACTGGCGGCCTGCCTGCCTCTATGGCAACTCAGGAGGCTGCTGAACCACAAGGCCCCAAGCCAGTCATGTTGATTATGCAGAGAGTGTTTATTCCTTCTGAACTTTTTTAGCCCTAATTTCTAGCACAGATACTGAGCCATAAGACAGTATCTGAGTATTTCATGCCAAGAAAATAATCTGTTCCCAGAGGTTGTATGCATACTCTAAGGAACTTGTTCAAGAAGACAATGTGATGAACCCTTTTGTTTTCTCCATAATTCCTTCAATGTTATTTTCTTCCTTCTTTCCTTCCTTGGCTCATCTTGCCATCATTAAATACACTACTAAATTTTCTGATACACACTAACTAGTATTATGATGAAATGGAGCCCCTTGAGAAACAAGACAAGTGGAGGAGGCTTCACTGAAGAGCCACCTAGACTTCTGGTGTGCCTCCATACCTGCTGAATTTTACATTAAACAAGTTGGTTCTGTCATTTCTATTGGAAAATTTCAAATGGAAACCTCAATGAATGGAGCCCATGGCGAAATGGAAACGATCAACCCTGGAAATCCACTGGGTTTACTTTGGGCAAAAATAAATGCAACAGAGCTTTCTGAAATCCAGAGGAAAGATGGCTTTTTAATAAAACAAACAAATAAAACCTCAACCTGGTCCAGTAATTGCACTTTATTCATGCACCCAGCTGTTGTTATTCCTCAAGCTGATGTTTAAATACTCAAAATGACCTAAACGTAATGAGGAGGCAGGCAGGGAAGTTGGAAAAACAAGACTGGGAAGGTCAGCGGGCACCTTTACAGCAACTCAGAGTCTCACTGCAGGGGTGGGGGAGTGAGGGACCTGGGGCTGCCCACTCCCTCCTCTTCTGTGGACTAAATGCAGCAGAGGGGAAAGACATCACCTTAGAAATGCGTGCTTACTGACAGAGGCTGCATACTGTGCATTTTTAAGCAAGAAAAAGGGCTAGGACAAGACATACATGGATTTTGTTTTATAAAACAAAGCAAAGCCTTACAACCTAAGACAAAGATACATGTGTATCTTTTATATGCATAGGAAAAAGGTGGCAGAAAGACAGGCACTGAGTTAGTCAAGGACAATGGCGTACTGGGGTGGGTAATGGACCTCTGGGGATGGCAGCCTTTGGCTTGACTTTGCAGATTTCTAGAAGCATCTAAAGGGAGGAGGTGGGTGAGGGCGAGGAGAAGCAGCACTTAGTTAAAACTACTAAAGAATAAGGTGATAGGAAGAGGTGTGAGGTTATGTGAAGAGATTGTTTTTTCCTAGAAAGGAGATAATCTCACGTGTTTATAGATTTTCACGAAGCAAAGGCATAGCTGATGCTAGCAGCAACGGGGAGAAAGAAATCAGCAGGGACACGAGGACAGAGTGTCAACTTGGAGGCCCCTTAGAATGTACTTTCCACTGTCTCACTTGGCTCCCTGAGCCCGTCTCTCTCAGAACCGCACTCTGGGCAGAAAGAAAAGAAAGTAGCTAAGGTTGGGTCCTCTCTTTGCAACCTCAGCTACCTCTGGCTTTAGTGTGTGCTTGGCAGAGAGCTGACAGGTAGGATTTCTGGGGGTCCCAGAAAGGGCAGATAGGCCAGGAAAATCCCACATGTCGACCTGGGCTCTGGGGAGGAAAGCACAATCTCTGTCCATGTGTATGGGGAAATCAGGAGAAGGGAAATATTCAAGGCTCAAATCGGTAGGATAAGTTAAACAAGTGCATTATAGAATGGCTGGAAATGGGAACAGAGACCACATTTTCCTTACAGAAGACAAAGCACATGTCATTCTTTCCTTTCTTTTTTGGGTCAGAAAAATGAAAATAAGGCAGCTTTCCTGCCTGCTTGTGACTAGACAGGTGTCTTTTTCTCTTTTTCCTAATAAACCTGTCCTTTTAAAATGTGAAAAGATGCCTCCTTGGTGGCCCAGGGGTTAAAGCCTCAGCACTATCAAGTTACTGCCAGCCACTGGCACTGCAGACCTCTCATTTTGCCCTGCTGCTCCCTTGTAATAGGGTGGTCACCCAGAAAAGGGGAGGTTTCAGGTTCTCTGCCCCTCCCAAAGGAGGGTGGAGCTGAGCAGGGAGGAGGAGAAGCTGGAGAGGAGACTGGAAAAGAAGGAAGCAGGATGGAGAGCCAGAGACCTGGAGGAGGCACATGGAGCAGAGAGCATGTGAAGAACTGTGCTTGCTTCTCGGTCCTGGGCTGGTTGGAACAGACCCGTGGGGAGGTGACCATGGCAGTGGTGGTCTTGCTTCTGATTTTGCTCTTTGCCTCCCAGACTTGTCCAACTGTGACTGACCTTTTTCTATGGGTCCCTGTCAGAGGTGCTTTAGACTTGGGGTGGGCTTTCAGGCCTTGCTTTGGGCCAGTTTTGTTAGGCTGGACTTTTACCCACAAGGGGATGAGTAACTTCGTGGATTTGATTTGAACACTGTATTCTTTGTCTTTTCTTTGTTACACACTAATTGTATTAAAGTTTCTTTCCATTAAAGGTCTTATATGTTTTGTCTTGATGTGGCAGATGGCGGAACCTATTTAAAGTGGGTAGGTTTGGGGGTTTTGAGGCGCCCCTCTCCCCGCCCTGTAACACCCTCAGCAGTGCATTTTAGTAGAGCTACCTGTTCTGCTCTCCACACTGTCTCTGGTGAATCCTTTCATCCCCTGCACCTCTGGCCTGTACCCGTTCTTGTATGCATAAGTTAACAAAGTAAATCTTTAAATAAAGTGTAAAAAAGAAAAAGACACTTGAAAACAAAAGAATATTCTGGCACTAGCATCAAGGGAGAGGCCCTGAGCTGAACTTTATCAAATTTCAGTTTTTCACCGGGTATGTCTTTAGGCCTCCACCTATAACTCTCTGAACCCCACACTGAATTTTCCTGATCGGAGAGACAGCATCTGGTACTTAAACCTGGGTTTCCCAAGCCAGCATCCCACCCATGGAAGGAGGGAGTGGAGGTGAGGGTCAGAACAGAGGTGGGATCAGGAGACAGTCATGCTGTCTGGTTTGGATCTGGGGCCACAGCACAGTGAGGTAGCTCCGATGACTTAAAATAAACCTCAACCCCCCAAGTGTTACAGGGAAGAATAAGATCCAGGTGAGAAACTAAACAGTTATGATTCCCTAGAGAACAGAGGCAGAAGCATAAGCTGATTTTTATGATGACAGACTTATTACCCTGCTCTTTTTCTTAGGAGAGGTGGATTTGCAACATCTGGACTTGCTGGCATAGACTGAACCCCTGAAATTTGTCAGGAGAGAGTCAAGGCAAGCACATGAAGGGAATCTCCAAGACAAGTAGCATTTCAGAGACCTGCCAGTCTAGCGGACAGAAATCACCTTGATTCACCCTGCAATTAGAAAAATCTCTGAGCAAACATTAGTCCATTCTGCAGAGGGTTTTTCAAAGGCATTGCACAATCCCCTAACAACAGGGGGTGGAGAGAGGAGTAATTCAGAGAAAGTGGTAAGGTGATACTCCCAGGAGACAGGTGCAAGATTTCTGGCCTTAGTAGGGCACAAGAGACCTCTTGTAGGGCACTGAGGGTGAGCGCTCACTGGCATGTGGGTGTGGGTGCTGGCAGGCACGCGTGGGTGCTGGGGTGTGTTCAGGGTGCTCCAGGGCAGGGCAGATTTCTCACCATTTCTCTTTCGAGCCTCATCCTTTGTCACTTTCTGCTGTGCCATTACATTCTGGGGCGAGCGCTTCCCCGAGCTGGGCTTCCCTGATTCGTTGCTGATGACAGAGCCGTTCTCACTGGGCGACCTGCTGGAGGTAACCATAACAACAAGGAGATGGTAAGTGCTGACTGGAGCAGCTCCTGCCAAGGTTATTTTATGTGCAGCCTATGTCGGGTAGGCTTTCATTCTGCTTTTTAGCTACAGAGAAGAAATGGTACAGGGAGGGCAAAGAAAAAGTCCCACACTATGGCATGGGGGAACCAGTGCTTGGCTCTGCACAGAAGTTTGGGGAGTTCAGCTCTACACCCCACCCCAGCTCCAGCCGTGACTCCCAAAACAGTGACAATGGGGTTTGTATACTTATACTTTGCTTTCTTTTGTAAAAACAAAGCACTTTGGGAAGTGTGGCAGGTCACATGGCATCTTCAGGGACACGCATAAACAGAGTTCTCTTTGATTATTCTCTGTATGTCAGGTTATTTGACTATTAAAGATTAAGTCCCTCTCCCACTGATTTCCTCATTCTCACACATACATGCTTATACACACACACACACACACACACACATTATTTAACTGTGCTGACTGGTAACTGCTTACATGTGAACTACCAAACTATACATTTGTTCAGAAATATTTTATATGTACCTACTATGTGCTAGCATCATGCCAGGTGAACCGACACAGAGACACCACCCATGCTCTCCAGAGAGCGCCTCAGGGCACCTGTGAGGCTCATTCTTCATACTCACCCATTCACCCAGGGGAAAGATGGGGAAACCAGAAACAGAGGCTTTCTGGGTTTGTTTTTGGGTCTGGTGTGTTAAAATCTTCCAAACTGATCAGAGTTTTCCACGGTTAGATGAACTCAAATGGAGGTGAGTAATGATACAGCCTGCCTTCTGCTAAATTATATTTTTAGGGTAAAAACTCTATATTTCTATTTTTAATAAGGTTTAATAAAAAAGTGTGGGTAGGCCCTCCCTGGTGGCGCAGCGGGTTAAAGCACAGCACTAAGAAGCTGAAACCACTTCCGCATGAGTTCGATTCCTGCCTGCCCCGGAGGTGACCACATGGCGTGGCAGACCTCTCCTGACCCGCCCGCTGCTCCCCTCAGCAGTGTGCTTCCTCGATCTGCCTGTTCTGCTCCCCACTCTGTCTCTGGTGAAGCCTCTCGCCGCCCCTGAGTCTCTGGCCTGTACCCCAGTTCTGTATGCACAAATAAATAAATCTTTTTAAAAAAAATTGTGGGTAATTTAATTTGATAAGTGAAAGCACACCTTACAAATTCGAGAAGAATTGATCATTCAAACAAAATTTTAAGAAATGTCTATACAATTTCAACCACTCCACTAGAATGGATGGAAAAGAATTATTTTATTCCTCCTACAAGTGTTAAGTTAATATACTAATATTGGTAATTCTATCTATTTCTTTTCCCGTGTCTTCTAAAAAGGTGAGAAGTTAACATGCTTTTATTGTATTTGGCAAACATAATGATAGTAATTTCACAGATAGTTCTACTTGCAGGTCAATTCAAATAAATCCTTGATGGTTTCTCTGAGTTTCAACACTCCATGCTGGGGAAAACTGTTGTAGTAACAGTCCCAAATTGTTCACACCTCCCTTAATCAAGTTTTGGGTTGTCCTCTCCATGCTGATGCTTGACTTGACCATGAGTTTTGCTTTTCCCAACAGATTAGCAAGTATGACACAGCAGCAGCTTGAGGCATGCTTACACTTTGGGATTTGTTTTCTTCCTGCCCTGGGAGCTCTGTGGCCACCTTGGGAGAAAGCCAGGGCTAGGCTGCAGGAAGGTGAGATCAGGTGCTGAGAGCCCCAGGTCTGTCCACCCCAGACAAGGCTGTCATCAACAAGCCGGTGCAGCTGAGGTCATTTACCCCTAACTCAGACCAGAAGAACCACGCAGCTGAACTCAGCCCAAACTGTTAACCTGCCAAAAAATCATGAGCTAAATAAGTGGTTGTTTATCATAAGATTTGTTATGGAACAATAGATAACTCAACATGCCCTGAAATCCACCTCCTGCTCCACTGCACTTCTTTCTGTGGTACCCACAGCATCCGAGCAAAGACAAACATTCTTGTTTGATTCCAATGCATTTGTTGTACATTTGCTACAGACAATCCTTCCTTGGTTTCTTGTAACCCACTTTTGCTTTGCTCTCTTCAGGCAAACATCTCTTTCTTTCTGATGTTTTTCAGTTGCTCACTGAATCTTCTTCATTTCTGGAGCTCTAATCATTACAATGCCCCAGTGGTCATTTCTGGTGCTCATCTTTGTCTATAATCATAGGTGATCCCATCCACTCTTATAGCTTTACATAACTAAGTACTGGCAACTCCAGATTTGTTTCTTCCCTGAGCACCTTTTCTGAGCTCCTGACTCATAGGGATGGCTGAGATCTCAAAATACCCATCTGCATGTTTGGTAGACATTTCATACTTAACATGCCCACATCCAAACTCATGATGTCCCCTACAAACCCTTCTCATCATTCTTCCCAAATCTCATAACAATCTATGAACAAATCACGTCAGCCTTTTCTTCCAAATCTCTCTCCAATGCAGTTGTTTCTTACATCACCATGTCTACCCCACTATCTCTCACTGGGGCGATCACAACAGCCTCCTAACAGGTATCCCTATTTCTACTCTACTTCTCTATAGTCTATTTTCCATGTAGTAGCCAGATGGAGACTAAATCACCAAGTCACATCACGTCACTGTTATTCTCAAGAGCCTGCAAAGACTTCTGATCTCTATTCACTATAAAATTCCAAGTTCTGACTTTGGTCTGTTGAGACTGAATGAACAACTTCAGGCAAATCCTCAGATGCGCCTGCTCTACCTCCTCCAAGTTCATACCAGCCTCTTTGGTCTTCCTGATCTTCTGTCAGCATGTTAAGAAGTTGCCTCTCCTGGGATTTGCACATACTGTTCTGTCTGTATGGAAATTCACCCCCACCCCCCAGATAGCCTCAAGGCTTCATGCGCCATTGCGCCATTTCAATCAGGTCTTTCTCAAATGTCATCAGAGAGGCATTCTCTGACTTACCTAAAAGAGTATCATGTCCACCCTCTACTTCTCTATCCCCTTTGGTTTTCTTCCTCATATGTTCTATTTGTTTAATGTCTATCTCTTCCCACACAACTATAAGCCCTGTGAGAAGAGGGACTTTGTCCACAGTCCCAGCACCTAGTAAACAGTAAATAGCCCGTAATATGTATGAGGTGAAGGCAAGGAAGGAGCAGGAAGACTGTAGCTTTTCCTGTTTCCACTGTGGCCTAAGGGCAGAAGAAGGGGGTTGGCACAGGAGTTGGTTTAACCAGCTGACAGAGCTTCCACACAGTTATTGCCTCATTAGAAGCCTATTGCAAAGTCCTCACAACTTGTGTCTGGTCTCTGGCCTAACAGCTGTCATCTATTACCCATGTTGCCACCATAGTAGCCTTTGTAAACACAGAATGGACATCACTGTCTTCCTGAAGAATTTTCCATGGCTTCCTACTGCCTAGAGAATAATGTGCAAGCTCCCTGAAGACCCTCTGCAGTTTTAATCTACCATCTGAACCCTTCACTGCATCCCAACCACGGGAAAGGTAACACCAGTGATAGTCACGGTCCCCTGGCTGTTTCAGACTGCACACCCATATCTCTTCCCGCTCCTGACATCCCACTCATTCTTCAAGGCCCAGCTAACACTTGCCATCCTCCATCAAGTTCTGTCCTCAAAAGGCAAGTCCTCCCCCTCTCTTTTCCACAGCAGTTTGTCTGGGCTCCCTCATAAGCACCCACACATCATACTTGATTTCCAACTATTTACTTCTCTGTCTTTCTACCATGAGATCCCTGGGGGTCAGAAACCTATCTTAAACCTTTCTGCAGTGCCCCCCAAAGCTCATCAAAGTGCTCAAACATGCTTTGTGAATTAAAGTCGTAAGTTCTCTAGAGAAATTGCCAGATAACACACACTAATTTAAAGGCACTACTTTTAAGATAAATTAAAAATTGGAAATGTGGCATCAGTGTCAAACTTAAAACAAATATAAAAGCTGGATCTCTGCTCTTGGGGTTTACCTGTCCACTAAAACCTGGCTTGCAAGAAGCGGGCATTGTGATTCCCATGGATGAGATCCTTGGTCTCCTCTTCAAATATTCAAAACAAGCTTGAAGGGGAATTATTAAAGAGAACAGTGGAATTAATTTGAGGACTTCAGCTGCTCCCACCATTAATTATTCCTCTCGCTGACACAGAGGCAAAAGTTGGCCTGTGCCTACCTCTTTCGGGTTTCTGTGGACTTGGCTGTCTTGACGGTGCTGCCGTCGTGGGCGGCATCCCTTTCCTGTGAGACAGGGGCATCTCGCGTAGGGAGAGGGAGCACCACCGTCTCCTGAGTCACCGGGATAACCTCCTCATCTGCCCCTTGCTGGCCCAGGTGCTGCTTGGCATAGTCGAAGCCTTGCACAGGCTGTAAAGACAGAACAGATTTGCTCACTGGCAGTGTTAGATTCGGGTAGCAACTGTGAGAGAAGGCAGGAGGGAACGTGCATGGGGTGCGGCCACACTGCACTCTGTGAAGACAAGAGCTAACGCAGATCTCTATTGTAATTTCTCTCTCCATCAGATCAGAAACCATGTTAATTCTACCAAGCTACAGAATCTCTGCAGAGAAAACATATTCAGAAAATTAACTAGTGTTAACAAACAGCAAAACCATATGGGAGCATAAACTTCTTTCAAGGATCTTAGATCTCTGATTTCATCACTGGTTATGGCTAATTAGAAACCTTCTTGATGCCTTGGCCACGTCCTGCATCATCTCCTGCCTTGGGATATTCTGTCACCTCTATCCTCAAGTTGCTTTATGTGTAGTAAGAGGTGTGTGACTCGGCCAAGTCCATTGAACTTGGAACTTCAATTTTCTCAACTGAGAAATGGAGAGAACTGCTTTGCTTTTACCACCACTGAGTAAGAGAGGGGATCAGTCCTGAACACAGAGAACACTGCTACCATGTGGGAGGCCGGACAATTCTTAATGATGAAAGAGAACTTAGGGAATCACTCTCTAAGCCAGGCTGGCTCTCCTATAATTCATTACTGGGAAATGAGCAAGGCTTTTATTGCATGAAGTCTGAAGTCTCAAGAGAATAGGCCAGCTGTGAACAAAACCCACTGGACATTAATTAGTAGTGAGGTAATCAAAAACCAGAAGCGTGTTTAAACAGTTCTTAGGAGTGTCTCTATTCTGTTTTATTCCCTAAAGTAGCACAATTCTGTTCCTTCCTAGCCCCAACCTGGACAATCTGCCAAAGTTATTTACCTTAAAAACGTATCAGGTCATGCCACACCCTGGTTTAAAGTGACCCATGGTCCCAAATATTTTGGCGAAGCATTTAAGGTCTTTCGTATTCCCCCCAAATCTACCTCCCTGGCCTCCTTTTCTGCTGGCCCCTTTTCCACTGTACCCTATGGGCCCATTACATGATTTCGTTTTCTTCCAACTCCTATCATTGCACATTGGCTTATGCCAGACACGGCACTCGATACTAGAACTAAAGAGACAAATAATAACTTAAGGAGTTCACATTTTCAGCTTTGTTTATTATTATTGGTACGGTCCTGAACACATTACATAAATTATGTCATTTCATTCTCACAGCAGTTCAGGAAGGTGGTAGTAATATGATGCCCATTTTGAAGATGAAGAAACTGAGGTTTAGAAGTTAAGCAACTTACTATGCTTACAAAGCTGGTATGCTGGATTTGAACCCAATACTGTGTGCCCCAGAGCCAGAACATCTAAACCCTGATTAACGACCCTTCTCATAGTCTCTCCTTGCCTCCACAGTTCCCATCTTGGTTGGCATCACCTTCTGTACTTGGCCTGGCTCCTGTGCTGAGACTCTGGCCTAGCTGCGAGGAACTGGAAGTTTCCAATGGCAGCTATGACTCCTCAAGAACCTAGCAAGAATGAGCTGTTTGAACCCTCTACCCTTCCCTGCCTCCCCAGCTCTCTCTAAATTTGGCCCTCACCCTTCATGATGAGTTGTGAATTGTATCTGTTGACCACTTCAGGGTACTCAGTGGAAGATGGGTAAGCAGATTAAGAGAGAGGTTAAGGAGTGGTAAGTTTAAAAGGTGGTCACTGTTATTAGTGACAATTCCGCATATATTTAGTACGTAGACTCTTCAAGACACTGACATGGCATTTGATCCACAAACAGCTCCATGAGGTAAGCAGAGCAAACGTCTCAGTGTTCATTTTAATAGGTAAGAGAATAAAACCTCAGAGTAGTTTGGTGACTTGCCCAAGGTCATACAGCTAAGAGGTAAAAAACTCAAGAAGTTCCTTCCACTTCTGATACATAGGGTGGTAAGCTGTCAATTTTCAACTTGAAAATCACCTGAGATTAATTAATTGTCCACTTAAATACCTACTACAGACACCATTAAACAATATCATGAGGTATTTATAGTTATTTCATTAAGTTTTCTAAAACTATTCAATCAAAATAATTTTCCAAGGTAGACCCATTACTCAGATCACTTTAGATCTGAGTAGTTTGCACAACTCACTTAAAAACCACCAAAGAATGAACACTATTATCACCCCTTCACAAATGGGGAAACTGATCATACAGATCATACAGAGTAAGAGAAACAGTCAGGAATCTTTAGGGGGCACTGACCTGTCCCTGTCCCAAGCAGAGGGCTGTGCTGCAGGCCCTCTAAGCTCCAACCTGAACCTACCTACATGTGGCCCAGCTACTGTCTCGATGGTTGACTGTTCAGGAAGATATGTTCCCTTCAACTATGTGAAGGGAAACCCTTGAACTCCTTCCATTTAAAACAAATAAGCAACTATACAAAGGGGAAAACTGAAAAAAAAGGCCGTGATTCCAATGACTAATAGTAAAGGGAAGTGAACTAGGAAGAAAGGAAGTGAAAAAGGCATGTAGCCTGGTCTTCTTGGTGTTACCATTTTCTCACCATTCTCCCCACAGAAGCCCAGTTGCAATGGGTTATATCAGTGGTACCTTGTCTCTAAAGAATGCGGGCATGCACGCACGCCCTGGTCGCAGCTCCCAGGAAAGCCACACTCACCTCCTGTTAGCATGTTAGGTGTATTACTGAGTCTCAGCAAGGATCTCCAGGAATCAGGAATGTCCTCTGGCACTGCAGTCTGCATTCTAAACATGCAGTGATGTCACTGGAGATGAGGAGACCCATCCTTCGGGTCTATGGATTGGTGGCGAAGGCTAACTCCCCCCTCCACACCCACACCCCGCCTGTCCCTCAGCATTAAATGAATTCTGCTCACACACACACACACACACACACACACAAGTGGAGAGAGGTGATGCAGGCAGCTCTCTTGTCTCAAACGCTGCAGTGTCCCTGGTTCGCAACGGCAGAGGGACTGCAGTAAGAAAGAGGCTGTTCCACCCTGCTGGGTTCCCGTGATAGAAGGGTTTGGAAATCCAAGTGTAGCCCAGGCCTCATTGAGGGAGAAAACAAGCAGCAGCACCACACACAAGTAAATTCAATCACCTCGCAGAATATAAATTTGCTTGATTTTCAACAATGCATCGGGTCGGAACAGGAAAGGTGCTAAGACAACCCACACACATGAATCTGTCTCTGTTTCCAGAAGGTGTGCAGAAACCGTGTTATGCCCAACTCAACCTGGCAAATTAATAAAACTGTGGCTGAATCTGTAACACTGATGCCACCTACAACCTCACTATGGCAGGGCTTGCATTCCTGGGCTCGGATGCCATTAGATTCTAGTAATTACTATTATGTTTGAAAGGCTCTGGTTGTAACTAAGCTACAGTGGAAAGGAAATACCCTTTCCTGGAGTAGTTTCATTTTTCACTGCTTGGGTAATCACCGACACCTTGTGCTGTGTCTGGAAGCAGATGCTTTGGCGTCAATAGAAATAGAACAACATTCTTTAGGGCATGGTTCTTCAGTAGGCAAGTGTCTGATCAAGTTGCAGTGTCCCAACAGGTGAACGGGCTTAATAAACAATAAAGTTTGTTTGGTTGCTTTTGTTGAAGCGAGGTGTGATTGGCCACAAAGAACCAGGTGTGCTGTGCCTGAAAATCAAGCTCTCCATGACACACAATCCAAAGGCCGCCAAGTACAAGGGCAACTCACTGTTTTGTTCACACCCAGGGAGACAAGGCTTGCAAGTTCAGAGCTGGAAGAGGAGACTCCCTGCCAGATCTCAGGGTTCAGGAAGGCGTGTCATATATAAAGAGCCCACAGGCTCAGGCACCACTCTGCTGCTAGCTACTTGACTTTAGACAAGTCCTGCAGTGGCTTTCTTTGAGGTTTCTCATCAGTAAAATAAAAATGATAAAACCTGTCCTGGATATGACCTGCCTCATAGGGCTGCTGTGATGAGCTGCCAAGGTGACAGGCCTAGGAGCACCTAGCAAATTCTAACGCATTACTTAAACACTGGGTATTACAGGTCGCCATATTTTTTCAGGGAATGTCACGTCAGGAGCTATCTGACTAAAAAGTCAGCCTTCAGAATTTCTCCAGTCAGTACCCCTCACTGGTATCAGAAGCAGCTGGTGTAGATGTGGGGCTGTGGAATGTGCCTGGGATTCCCGGTGACTGTACTGTGCTCAGGACAGTGCTGACCAGTCAGGACTTTGCATCTTTTCATTCAGGGAAACCTTTGAAGATAAGCCAAAGGAAGAAGGAAAATTCGGAGTGTCTCGAGTGCCCCACAGAAACTGTGAGGAGCAAGGGGACCTGGTTCTACTACCAGTTCTGCTACTTCCTATATGATCTTGAAAGAACCACTTTTCTGAAAAGGCATTTTTGATGGCGTCCAAGTCCCTTTCAGATCTATTTAGCTACCATTTTTCTGTGCCTCAGTTTCTTCATCTATAAAAATATGGCCCTTCCTCAAAGAGTTGCTGTGAGGATGAAGGGAGTTGCTATGTGTAAAGGATGTAGAAGCAAATATGGCAAAACAAGCACCAGATAAACCTTAGCTATTGTGCCCTGATGTAAATTAAAGGGTGTACAAGAATGCAAATATACTTAGCAACACCAAACTATACATTTAAAAATAATCATGGTGGCTGTTTATTGCTGCTCTACTTACAATAGGGAAAATGTGGAATCAACCCAAGTGTCCAAAATTAGATGACTGGATTAAGATGTGGTACATACACACAATGGAATAATACGCAGCAATCAAAAAGGATAAACTTGTGCCTTTTACAGCAACATGGATGGCGCTGGGAGGGATCATGCTTAGTGAAATAACCCAGAAAGAGAAAGAAAAATACTGGATGGTTTCACTCATATCAGGAGCATAAGGGATCAGGGAAGAAAAAAAAGAGAGAGACTAACAAATGTTATACAGTATAAATGAAAACAATGAACAACTATAAACCAGAGACATTTTATGGGGGTGGGTAGGGGAATGGGGTCAAAACTGGGGTGGGAAGAATACACTGGACTGTGGTGATAGCACACAGGTGAACTGGTGATGGGCAGGCAGCCCATGGGCATTACAACTGAGCTGGAAAAATGCACAAAATAAAGAATGATGTAATATATATATATGTGTGTGTGTGTGTGTGTGTGTTTATGGTGTAAAAAAAATAATAATCATGGTGGCAAACTTTAAAAAATTCAAGTAAATGGTTTCCTTCAAAACGAAGTGTGTGAAGAGGTTTCTGAAGGTATTTGTACTTTGAAAACCAAGAGGGAAAGGGCAGGCTGAGCCCCTGCAGGCCCGGACCCTGCTCTCCCACCACCATTTTTCCCCACCTTTGCTCTCTGAGGAAGGTTCATCACGGTGTCCGGCTTGAAGTCGTTCTTGTTCTTCCGGCAGAGCACAGCAGTGATGATGATGATGATGACCGTGACCACAGCAATAGGCGCCAGAACTGCGGCGATGATCCACAGGTTGTTGGGTGGGTTTTTCACTACGGCTGTGGGAAGAGCCAGCAGAAAGCATGAGGCAAGGAGGAGGGCGTGTGGGGGTGGGGGACAGGAATCTTCCACCATCCCCAGCCACAGGATATTTAAGAGGGTCAGAAAGGCCTTGTCTTGGGCCAGTGCTCGTGGTCTCCCATCTCAGTTTCCTCACCTGTAAAATGGGGTCATTGCTGTGTGGCATCAGAGAGACAAGTCTGTGGGGTGCTCTGGTGTGGCTCCGAGTGGGTGCTCAATAAATGTAAGCCTCCACCATTATTAAGATGGGCCAGCATCAACTTTCCCCCCAGGAGATATGCATGAGTTGAATGAAGAGAGAAGGAACCTGAGAATGGCACCAGGGGCAAAGGTCACAGAGAGAGGACCCTAAATGTTATGAAGTTGCTCTCTGAGCAATGAGTAAAACTGAACTCAGTGGATGAAGCCCCTCACGCCTCCCATGGCTGGCTGGGGAAGCCTGGAAATGCTATGGTCTAATAAAAAAAGATTGGAGCCTCAGTAAAGAAAAGAGTCACCAAAACAATTGTCAGTAGGAAGACTGTGTTATTAGAATAGCAGGTGTCTCTTAAAGGGTGACAGGTGTTTTGTGATATTCTCTCTTTGATAAATGGCAACACCTTTCTTCCAATTGCTGGAGCAAATAACTTTGTCATCAACACTGATCTCATCCAAATTTCTGTTCATCAACAAATCCTGCTATATCCATCTTCAAAACATGTCCAGGATCTGCTTACTTCTTTCTACCACTGTTGTCCCCACTGTGGTCCAAGCTAGCAGCATTTACCTGAGTTCTGCCAAGGCCTCCTACCTTGGCCCTTGTTCTTTATCGCCTATTTGCAACACAGCAGGTGGAATGATTCTTTTAAAATTTCAGTTTCAACACTGCTCCATTCCAAACCCTCCAGAAGTTCCTACCCCAAACTCCAATTAGACTAACAGTCAGCATCCTGAAGTTCTCTAAGACTCTAAGTGATCTACCTCTCTGTTCCAGGTACTTCTCCGGCCTTAGAGCCACCTGCCCTTCACTTAGCGTTCTCTGCTCCAGCCTACTGGTCTCCCACTGTTCCTCAAATATGCTGAGCGGGCTGTCTCAGGGCCTTTGCACTGAATGATTCCCCACCTAGAACAATCTTCACTTAGCTATCCACATGACTCCCTCCCTCACTTCCTTCAGGGCTCTGAACACATGTCATCATCCTTATACTCTTTGTAAAATAACAACCCTGTCGCTGGCACTACCCATCCCCTCACCCTACTTAATTTTCTTTGAAATAGTGTTTCTCAACTCTAAGGTGCACCCCAGTTGACTGGGAATCTTGTTCAAATGTGTATTCTCATACTGTGGCTTGGAGAAGGACTTGAAATCTGCTTCTCTAACAAGCTGCCAGATGGTGCCCAAGCTTGAAGTCTCCAGGCTACACCTGAAAGGGGAAGGCATTAAAGCACCTGTCACTACCTGACATCATGCACCACTCCCTGCCCCTCCATAAGGATGTACACTCCAAGCAGGTGGGGAGTTGTCTCTTGTTCATTGCTGCATCTATTGTTCCCAGGATACATTTTGCACATACAAGGTGCTCCATTAAAAGTTCATTGTATGTCGGCCCTCCCTGGTGGCGCAGCGGGTTAAAGCACAGCACTGAGAATCTGAAGCCACTTCCGCATGAATTCAATTCCCGCCTGCCGCCTGCCCCGGAGGAGACCACATGGCGAGCCAGACCTCTCCTGGCCCGCCCGCTGCTTCCCTCAGCAGTGTACTTCGTCGATCTGCCTGTTCTGCTCCCCACTCTGTCTCTGGTGAAACCTCTCACCGCCCCTGAGCCTCTTGCCTGTACCCCAGTTCTGTATGCACAAATAAATAAATCTTAAAAAAAAAAAAAATGTTCATTGTATGTCTAAATGAGCCACCTAATGGCTCGACTCCCCATACAGGTCTTCCTCCAGAATAGGGTAATGGCTAGTTTAAAGGAGAAATCTCAACACCTTGGTCATTCGCATTTCATATTTTAAATGGACATACTGCTAATGTGACTTATCCCTTAAAAGTCTGGTCAGCACGAGTTGGTCCTCCTGAGCCTGCTGAATTCTAGAGGATACTGGAGCAGCAAAGCTGAGGCCGAAACCCTGGAGGATAAAGACTGGGAAGTGTCAGATGGTGAGGACCTGCTTGAAGAGTCAACCCATTTTCTCCCTTACTTCACCTGGTGCCTGCTAGCTGAGAGCTGCCTCCACTAGGCAACATTACCTCTAGATTACTATTCAAACCTAACTTCTTTTCCACAGCTTTTAATCAATCACATTATTCACTTGGGAAAAAAGATCACTAGATAATGCACTCCTGTTGACATCAAACACTTAATTGCTATTGCTTTAGTAATTCAGTTATTTATACATGAGTTTTATGACATTAACATTTTTTTTAAAGCTTAGAGCTTTCACAGAAAAAAAAAAAGAACCCCGCCAATATACCTCTTTTTTGGCTACGCTATTCTGTTACAATGGAGAAAAATGTATATATATATATATATGTATGTATGTTCATTGACAAATATATTTAGATATATATTTTTCACTCACTAGCAAGAATGAAACAGTTACATGTGTTCTGCTTTCATTCAGCTTTATTGTCTTAGTAAATGTGTTTCTCCTTGGCACAGCATATAAATCCCTTCACTTCTATTTAAATAATGGAGAAAGAATAGATTTATTTTATGCACATGAATAAATTCATTTAACAGTCAAAGTGATAGTAAAGTTAGGTCAACTGAAGTCATTTAAACCCAACACATTCATTGGCATAATGACCTAAAACTACAAAATTATAGACGGGGAGGGAAAGGAAGGAATAGTAACTCAATTTACAAGAATTCTGCAGACGAAGGGCAGGAAAAGGGACATGCTGCACATCAATGGTGTGGGAGGCTTTCTGCTTGCTGTTCTTATTCCCGGCTTGCAGATACACAAACTGACCCCAGGGACGTTAGACCTTTTATGAAAAGTCATTTCTCTGAAATACACTTTAAGTCAGTGTCAGAGAGAAGGGTGTGCGCATGCACATTAGAGTTTATCCAAAAGGTCCATATAATCCAAAGTCAGGATAAATTACTCTCATGTAGAAAAAATGTTGAAAGGAGAAGGAATCCATTAAAAAATGCTTCCAGTTCATTTATTGGGGGGGCTGGCAAAAAATCAGCCCTCGTAGCAGTATGAGTGAGGATAAGGGAGTATACAGCTGAGAGCCCAGCCACTGTCAAGGGTTTAGCCCATGTGGGTCCCCCCAATGGTCCCAGCTCTGACCTCATCACTACTCCTCCCCTGTCAGTGACCTTCTTGCTAAGCCACAAACCCTGCCCCCCTTGCCCAGAACTTTGTCCCCAGATATAGCCACAGGTCAGGCCAAGATTACTACTTTGATGATGCTCTTTTTTTTTTTTTTTAAGATTTATTTGTTTATGCATACAGCAACTGGAGTATAGGTCAGAGGTGAGAGGATTCACCAGAAACAGTGAGAAACAGAATAGGCAGAATGACTGAAGTACACGGCTGAGGGGAACAATGGGAGAAGCAGGAGAGGTCTGCTGCATCATGTGCATCACTTCCTTGGCCGGGGATTGAATTCATGCTGCAGTGGTTGCAGAGAGCTTCTTAGTGCTGCACTTTAACTTGCAGCACCACCAGGGAGGGCCCAAGGATGCTCTTCTTGACCCTTCACCCATTTAAAATGATCACCATTTTCTCCTGGATGTTCCTAGTCCATTCCCACTTAGCACTTACCAGCATCTACACTAGTGTTTATTTTGATATGGAACTACCCACCCCGGTATGTAAGCCCTCAAGGACAAGGGGACTTGTCTGTTCCATTTACTGCTATATGCCCAGAGCCTCCAAAGGTGCCAGGCACATAATGGGTGCTCAAAAAATATCTATTGATAATAACCAAGACCTGGAAACAACCAAAAAGTCCAAAATAGATGGCTGTCAAGATCATAAGATCTACAAAAGAATACATGCACCCCTATGTTTATTGCAACACTACTGATAATAAGTAAGACTTGGAATCAACCCAAATGCCCAAAAATAGATGACTAGATCAAGTAGATGTGGTAGATATACACAATGGAATACTACACAGCAGTCAAAAGATAAATTAATGCCATTTGCAGCAACATGGAGGGAACTTGAAGGGATTATGCTCAGTGAAGTAAGTCAGAAGGAGAAAAAAATTACTGGATGGTTTCACTTATAGGAGGATATAGGGGATCAAGAGGAAAAAATAACAACAACAAAAACACACCACCACAAAACAAAAATATACAGACAACTGTAAATCAAGGGAGGGGGAGGGAAAGGGATCACAATGAGGCAGGAAGAACACAAGGGACTGGGGTGACAGTGCATGGGTGACCTGGTGGTGGGAATTCCATGGGGACTACACCTGAGAAAAGAATGCAAGCATTGCTAGGGAAATAAGTAAGTAAATACATCAAAGATTATTTAAAGTGAAAAACAAACACACAAGCAAATAAATAAACTGCAGGTACATGCCTAAGAAATAATAAGTAAAATAAAATGAAGAAAAGTGATAAATATCAGAGGGTTTCACTTATATGCCACAATATAGAGAAACCAAGCAAAGAGTCAGGGAAAAAGACAAAACTTGCAAGGTGACTCTAGAACCGAGGCCACAGCCAGGTAGTGAAGGCGGCTGAATGTGTTGAGCACGTGTTGTAAGGGGTTTAGAAGACACATGTTAGGACTGCATTCTGTAAACAGTAGAAAACCATCAAATGTGTTTTTAGTGGAATAGATGTCCCAATTCATGTTGTTAATTACAGTGTGCACATTACATTCATGGCCAAGTACTGAAATGAAGTCATTTAGGAAGCTATGGCAAACTGAAAGCAGCTAATGCTGACATGACGAAAAGGAGACAAATAAGCATGTGCTTGCAGGAGGACAGTGAGAGGACCATGAAGCAAAGGCAAAGGGCAGAACAAGGCTCAAGTCCTGGCCTGTGGACACAGCCAAGCCTCTGCACCATCCCTAGAGGGCCCTAGACGCTCATCCACTAAAGACTCTGTGTGTCTTCTAACCTGATTTCCTGCCCAAGCTCTCTCCTCCCACTGCTCCCCATCAATGGCCATCAGCAAAGACCCTTATCACAACCTCTTCTTACACTCATTCACCTCTTCCTCTAAACAAAGCCAGCTCTCCCTTCTTCTTCTTTTTTTTTTTTTAAAGATTTATTTATTTGTGCATACTGAACTGGGGTACAGGCCAGAGGCTCAGGGGTGGTGAGAGGCTTCACCAGAGACAGAATGGGGAACAGAAACAGGCAGACTGACGAAGTACACTGCTGAGGGGAGCAGCGGGAGGGTCAGGAGAGGTCTGCCACGCCATGTGGTCACCTCCAGGGCAGGTGGGAATCGAACTCATGCGGAAGTGGTTTTAGATTCTCAGTGCTGTGCTTTAACCCACTGCGCCACCAAGGAGGGCCTCTCTCCCCTTCTTAACATAGAAGATGGTTGGAATGGGAGGCATGATGGAAAGGAAGAAACAAGGAACCAGGAAAAATCTCCAGCAAATGATGGGCTTGGCTGGAGGTCTAGAGGTGATGGCCACAAGGAGGGGTGCAGCTTCAAAGGAGCTGAGATTCTGAAAGAAGAGAAGTGGCCTAGATGTAGCAGTAAAGCCCAAGCAGGAGGGGAGCCCTAAGGGTCTGTTACTTTTATGGTTTGTTTCTCCATTCCCAGTGTGTATCACTGCACCCTTGCATAGATTTGTCAAAGATGCAATTCCAAGCTCTTCTGCCAACTGCACTTCATAGGCCCCAGGAGAGCAGAGAAAGCATCTTTAGGTTTCCATTGCCCAATGTACCTCTGGCACCCACAGCTCCTGTGTTCTCCTTCCCTCTGTTGCAGAAGGATGATCTGCCATCGCTCCTTGGGTCTGACCCAGTGCCAGAGCCCTTCCCTCCCATCCTATTCACTTAAGCCCTGTTTGGGTCCCCAACACCTGGATGAACCACCATCTTCCTTCTCTCCTCCCAGACACCACTGACAGAAATAGTGGTCAACTCTAGAAACAACAGTAGTTCCAGTGATTCTACTTCCCTGCTCAGAAATCTTCAATAGCTCCCACAGCCAATCATACTATCTACAAGTCTTCCCCTGCCCTGCCCTCCATAACCTGTCTCCCAATCAAATCTCTAAACCTCGCTAATCTCTTCATCTGCTCCTTTGATTCTGTGCTCCAGGCAACATAAACTTGCTTTTCAAGCACCCCCTGGAATTTTTTTTTTAAAGATTTGTTTACTTATTCATACAGAACTGGGGTACAGGCCAGAGTTGCAGGGGTGGTAAGAGGATTCACCAGAGAAAGAGTGGGAAGCAGAACAGGCGGATCAACGAAGTACACTGCTGAGGAGAGCAGCAGGTGGGTCAGGAGAAGTCTGCCACACCATGTGGTCACCTCCGGGGCAGGCGGAAATCGAACTCATGTGGAAGTGGCTTTTGATTCTTAGTGCTGTGCTTTAACCTGCTGTGCCACCAGGGAGGCCCCAAGAATTTATTTTTTAATGCATAAAAGAGCTGGGGTATAGGCCAGAGGTGCAGGGAGGTGAGAGGATTCACCAGAGACAGAGTGGGGAGCAGAACAGGCCGACTGACGAAGTACACTGCTGAGGGGAGCAGCGGACAGGTCAGGAGAGGTCTGCTGCGCCATGTGGTCACCTCCGGGGTAGGGATCAACTCATGCAGAAGTGGCTTTAGCATCTCAGTGCTGTGTTTTAACCTGCTGGACCACCAGGAAGGGCCCACCCCTTGGAATTTTAAACTTCCATCATTTGGCCCATGTGGCTCCCTCTTTCTGGAACATACAACCTCCACTCACTCTGCTGAAGTTTTAATTAAGAACACACCTTTGAAGTCTGATAGATCCAGAGTCACCCCTGGGCAGCCTAAGCACCATGTCTGCTAAGCCAGTTATATAACTTTTCTCAGCCTCTGTTTCCTCATCTGTAATCTGGTGCTCAGTAAAGCTGCTCCAATAAGAGGAGAGAACAAACAAACAAGCAAACAAACAAAAAAAACATGAAAAACAAGAAGAGTAGCAGCTTCCCTGAGACGTTACTCAAAATAACAGATGTTATTTTTAATATCTGGTCTCTATGCATTCTCTCCAGATTTCTCTTCCAGAAGGTTCTCCTCTGTCAACCTTGTGTCCTGCCTCCTTGAAGCTCTTTCCCAGAGTCTACTTCTACATTGAGTCCCTCTCTGCTCCTCAAAGACAGGGACTGGGTTCTGGGCATTTCCACAAGCCCATCACCACTGAGCACAGTTCATGAGGGACTCCACAAAAGCTTACTGACCCAAATAATTATCTTCCATTCCACAGCAGACAAACATAACCTTAGCTATGATGATTTTTCTAGCTGTTCACGAGACAATAATGATGAAAAAGAATAGGTAAGGCTTAAGGGCAAAGCATACAAATATCATTATTATAATTTTAATATTCAAAACATATCCCTGCCCCAAATATATTGCTCATATAACACAGGGAATAGCTGATTGCAGAACTTTTTAGAACAGAAATGTTTAGTTCTGGGTGCATACACCTGAGTTTAGGGAATCACTCTGATTTGCAGGAAACACTGAATGGCATTAAAAATAATGAACGCAAAGACTGTTTCCTTACGGTCAGCTTGCAGAAGGACAACATGATGCAGCGTCAAGGCCATCCTTTGGGAATCAATGGTGCTGAGGATCTTGGCAGCTGCAGTCCCCAGCAAAGGCTTCCCATTGTACAGAGTGTAGTATGTCAGCTCCGCTGGGTCCTTGGGTCCTGGCACGCGCTGCATCTTCACCATCTTTCAGAAAGAGAGAAGTCAGGTTTACAGGGACTCGTGCACCCATGAGCTGACCTCTGGCCATCAGCAGGCTCTCCTGACTGCTGAAGCCTCTTGTGGCTAAGTAGAACCACCCATGTATCTTTGACATCGATTTTTGTGTACGTCCCTATCACCAGCATCTCAAGAAGCCCCGCTATCGCTGCAAAGGGGACAGGAAGCAGACAAGGATTAAACATCTGGAAAGAACAGTCTGAGGCTGGAGAAGAAAATGCTGAAATGGTGATGTCTCCCAGCCTCCAGGGAACTCTGGCCTCATTTGAAAATAGGCCTTCACATTAATTCAGGGCATGTTAGGTTATCCTCAAACAAGATTTCTAATTTCAAATCCTGCAATTGCCAGAGAGAGAGAAAAAAAAAAATGAACTTAAACGTCTGCAATTCAAATTATCTCTGATAAAAGCAGGACGTGGAAAGTCAAAGTTCATTTTCCAAAACAACCTTTTTGTTGCTTTTCCCCTTCTGCCACAAATTACTCCTGTCATCTTTGTTTTGTTCGTACAAATCTTTTATTTATTAAAACTTACAAAATCATTGATCACACTCCTATATGGTATCATATCTTGTGATTTTCAGTTACATCCTTAAGTGGCTTTAAATATAACAAAAACATAAATGTTGATTTCTTTCTACATGGAATTCCAGGGAAGCCTAGTAAATTTATCTAGCAAGCTTTTTATTGTTAAATATTTATACTGCTACTCATTTTTATTAGCCTAACAATTGACAATTGTTATAAATACATAAAACATAAAATTTTTAAAAATAAATAATATAATAGTTTATTGTTACATCATTTTGTGCATTTTTCCATCTCAGTTGTAATCCCCGTGGGTTTCCCATCACCAAATCACCCATGTGCCATCACCATAGTGCAGTGTATTTCCCTCCCCCCACTGTATAAAACATAAATTTTAATGTGTCATGTTCTACTAGATGCATGACTCATAAACTTAATGAACCCATCACTTTTCATATTTAGGTTGTTATAAACTTTTCACTATTATAATTAACAATTGAAAAACACTATAGTATAACGTTTTCCACAATATATATAATATGTTCATAGGTTATTAAAAGCTATTACAAAAATGTTTATAGTAGCATTGTTCAAATAGCAAAAAGAACCCTGAAAATGTAAATGAGCTATTTCACACAATGCAATATTATAAAATACTATAAATGAATAAACTATGATTAGTTGTATGAATTTTGGTGACTATAAAAACTTAACATTAAGGAAAAGAAACAAATCACAGGCTGTAAAATTTTAAAACAACCAAAATCAAGTGATGTCCTGTTTTCTGATACATGTTTGGGTGATAAAATCTATACAGAAAATACAGGCATGATTTCAGAAGTGCACTCAACTCTGACAGAAAGAAGGGAGTACTGTAATAAGAAAAGACTTCTGGGGTAAGATCACGGTAATGTTTTAAATCTTTTTATTAATGTACTTGAAGTGCTACATAATTTTACACTCCTTTGTATGTACACTACTATATATAACCATTCAAAACAGATATGAGGACAGTCAAATAAAAAAAGTAGATTTAAAAATAATCTGATGAGACACTTCACAAAGAAGATCTCTGAATAGCCAATAAGTATACAAAATGTTCAATGGGGAAGTTCAAATTAAAACCATGAGACTACTATCATTTCCAAAATGGATTGACATTGTGAAGTGTAATGAGAATGTGGAATTTCACATCTGGTTTGTGGGAATGTAAAATGGTACACAATGCTATGAACCAGCTTCCCCACTGTCGTGGCCTGAGAGACCCTGTCCCCGGGGCAACATAAAGGACCATTTAATGGACACTCTGAGAAACACTATTTTTCCCCTTTCATTTTTGTGTTTATCATTATCTCCTCAAGATGAACTTCTAGGATTAAGCTGGTACCATATGAAAGATTCTTGTCTGAGTTGCTCTTGGCTTCCAGAAGGGGCCTACCCATTCACTCTCTTTGCCAGTGTCTATTTCACTCACCTGCTGCACTAAACACCACCATATCACCATCTCTGGCTGGTGAAAATGGTCTCTGGTAGCCATTAAAACTTACCTTCCTTGGATTACAAATTAAGTTAAACATTGAAAAATGTTTATTGGTCCTATGTATTTATTTCTTCATTGGGCCCAACTTTTCATATATATCCACTAAAGAAATTTAAATTCTGGACATCTAAATCTCTAATTAGAAAGATGAGGTGGCTCATCTTTTAAAATTGAACCCAAAAGAAAGCTCTCTAGGTAAAAGGATGATAGAAGCTAAAAAGTGAATTTTAGTTGGGCAACTCAAGCATGTTATTCATGTCCCTCATGGGAGAGGAAAGAGGAAAAGTGTTAATACAACCAGGTAGAAGGTGATGTGAACATTCAAATATCTAATAATTTCACTCAACTTCAACTTAATAGCAAAATCTTATAAGATTTCTCTAAGGGTGATATTAGAAGGTGATCGACAGCTTCTGTGTATTAGCATTTAACAGAAAGTAACCCGACTTGCTTTGCTCAGACTTTCTGGGGCCAAGCACACTGAATACTCAGCTGAAACCAGGAAGAGGCCTTCCTTTGAGGACACAAAGAATGTGTAAGTTTCTTGAGTTCCAATAACACCAGGCTCCTAGGGCAGCTCTTTCTTGCCCTTCAGCTGAGGCGAATCGCATTTCAGTGCCCTCAGTCTCAGGGACCCTTTTTCTGTTATTTGGAGAAGTATAAATTATAGGGCCCACACAGAACCCCATAGAGAAGAAATCACAAATTGGGCACATGAAATGAACCATCCCTTTACCTTCGGACAAGGCTAACACAGACCACCAAGACTTTTGGAATCAAAGCAACACCCACTTTGACAAGGGAACAAAGTCACCAGCTGCATGGGGACCTGGAGTCCCCCTCAGGCAAGTGTGTCCTGGAAGATGGGTAGTTTGCTTTTCAGGATTGCCTGTAGCAGATACCACAGGTGCTCTGCCCAGACCCCCTAGGCATTTATATCAATGCCAATCCCAATTCCAACAGCCAACCCCCAAATCTATGAAGTCTGCTCTTGAGGTGTTAGAACCCACTCTGCCCACCCCATGGCTGATAAGAAGTGCCTGGGTTTAACCCATTTAGCAGCGGAGGTATAAACACCTCTTTTGTCTCTTGTCTAGAAGAACTCTGAAATGTATGTTTTAGATCATATTCAGAACTTGCCCATAGATTTAAGCTTTAGCTACTTTGGTAACTACACTCCTTGTTAGCTCCATTCCTGACACTCCTGACAGCACCTTATACTTCCCCAAAAAACTCTCAGCCCTCCACTCTCCTGAGTCTCTTCCTGAGAGAACCAGCAGAGACCATGGCCGTCTCCAAGGTAGACTCAACCTCTTTAGACCCTTAAACCAGCTCAAGCAAGAATGGGAGTCTCTCACCCAGCCCTCGCCTAAATTCCTCTGTGGCTGTGTGTCCAGGATAAACTTGGAGGACTAAATAAGAGTAGCAAAATCTGGCATTAGGAATGTGGACAGCTACATGTCCATTCATGGCAGCAGAGAAAGGCCAGAAAGCACCAAGAGCTGAGGCTCCATCCTCCCAGCCAGAGTGATGAGCTATCTGTGCTTGTTTATTAAATACCTTTGTCTAATAACTATTTGCACATGTGCTGAATCTGTTCTGACACCTCTTTTCCTTGCAGTCAATCAATAGCAGTGAGACAGTCAGGGTGTGATGTGCACCCTCCTTCGTGATTTTGATGGTCATGACCATCACCCCCCAAAGCCTCTGAACAGTGCTGCCTACACAGGCCAGGCAGTTTGCAGCATGGCTGTGGCTCTCTGCTCAGTGTGACCAAGTCTCAGGAAGCACTGACCCCACACTGATTAGAAGATCCCAGGGGTTTCGTACACACCTACCTGCACAGTGTAGCTTCCCAGGGTGGTGGCCCGCTTAAACCGCCGGCCTTGTTGCTGGGACATCATGAAGAGCTGGGCCAGACGCTGCTCCATGACCCGGGCAAAGCTCTGGTTGTGCAAGCCCACCAGCGAGTTGTCCACGCCCTGCAACACTGTGAGCACAAAGCAGAGGGGCTGCTCAGAGGATGCCAGTTGCATGGGAGATCTGGAGATGCAGTGTCCACCACTTCCGCCAGCCTCACCCTGAGCCCCTGGACCCATGAGGGTTGGCCAGCCTTACCCCACTTTACCCTCACAGCAGCCCCAGAGTGGGGAGTCACCCGCCATACGTGACAGATGCTAAAGTGTTTCAGAGATTTGTTTAAGATCATAGCTAGCAAGTGCAAAAGCAGGGTTCAAGCCCAAACCAGTATAACTCCACAGCCTGGACTGTCCGCCCTGAGTCAGACGGTCTAGCAATGTGGGGTCAAATCAAACCCCCTTTTACATGGTTAGCTCACAAGAAAACACAGCACACCTGCAGGTTTGGCTCATGGGTTTTTGCAGGTACCCACTCAGAAGCTGTGGCTTTGGGCTGCCCATTTTAGTTTTCCTTCTCAGCAACTTTGCTGAGGAATCTAAGCTCAGTCCTCAGACCTGGGCAAGCTGCCCTGTTCAGGGTCCTGGTCTCTCCCCACTCTGTGGGGTCCTTTGGGAACCCACCTCCAATGACACCCAAGTCTTTCCCATGTCACAAAAGCTGAGAAGCCAAGAGGATGATGCTGGAGGCGAGGTTAAGAAGGCCTCTCCCAAACCCATAAGAAGGGGAAGCCCTACTGTAGTGGAAACCCTGTCCTTCTCAGAGGAATGGGAAGATATTCCTGAAAGGCCACATAAAAGAGGAAGTTCTCAGCAACTAAATCCAGGTTTAAAAAGAAAAATGTCACAAATCCAGCTGGTGCTGAAAGAATGGCGGTACCCAAGTGGCTAAACCTCACAGGATGTCTGTGTATTATCCTAGTGACTGTCCTCCTGAGCCCCAGCAAAACCCCGTTCTGTTAGCTTGTGAGAAAACTATGAGCCGACATCATTCCGGGGACAACCTTGACCTTCCTAATAGGGTGTCACAGAGGTGGGAGTGTGGCTGTCTTGGAGCAGCTGGGCAGTGCTACTTGGGACTGGACCTCTGTCCCTCAGTGGAGCTCCTCCATGTAGGACACCCCAGAAATGTGTCATCGCCACCTCCACCAACACAAGAATCAGTGGTACGAAGCTCCCAAAACACCTCACTGACGCTGACTTCAAGAAGGCGCTGCGTCAGCCACGACACCAGGGAGGTGAGATCTTCCCCACACAGGAGACACGCGAGATGACACAGCAGTGCAAGGCTGATCAGAAAGATGTGGACTCGCAAAGTCTGCCAAAAATCAGAGCTGCCCCCCAGTCCCTGAGCTAGCTCGGCTCTGTGTTTGCTCTTGCAGATGGAATTTACCCTCACAAATTGGTGTTCTACATTTCCTGCAGAGGATCTAATTAAATAATGAAAGAAAGAAAGAAAAAAAGATAGTCAGAGCCCCCCGGGTGCGCTCCCATGAGAGCAGGGCAGTGGAATAGAAAGAGGGGACCCGCACGCAGGGCTGTGGGGTTTTTAGCAAACTGATTGTCTTTGCATCCCAGTGCTTTTCTATAGCAAGACAATAAGGTCTACATCACAGGGAACATATTGCTAAGGGGCTCTAAGGCTGAAAAGAGGCAGATGGATGAAGCAGCTTAGCACAGTACCTGGTCCAGGGAAGGTAAATGGAGTGAAATCCTCCTCACCCCTCCCTCTCCATTGCTGTGTTCCAGCTACACCATGAGCCTCTAGAGACAACAGCTGAGGCATTCATGTGGTGGGGCCCAGGCCAGAAAACATTATCAAATCTACCCAGCACTCTTTTTAAAAGATATCTCTGAAGTAAATCAAAAGGATAGAAAGAAATGAAAATTCAACAGAATCATCCAAAAGTCATTGAAATTTTTCTTGTTCTCCTTTCTTCTAAACATTCATTGCAAGTCTGGTAATTCACCTTAATGTCATAGTAATCAGAGATTTGATGCTGAATCTTGATCCTAAAGCATTTTTTAAAAAAGATTTAATTATTTATGCATACAGAACTGGGGTACAGGCCAGAGGTGCAGGGGCAGCGAGAGGCTTCACCAGAGACAGAGCGGGGAGCAGAACAGGCAGATAGATCTACGAAGTACACTGCTGAGGGGAGCAGTGGGCGGGTCAGGAGAGGTCTGCCATGCCATGTGGTCTCCTCTGGGGCAGGCGGGAATCAAACTCATGCGGAAGTGGCTTTAGCTTCTCAGTGCTGTGCTTTAACCTGCTGCACCACCAGGGAGGGCCCTAAAGCATTTTTTAAAATCTATTTTTTAACCTTGACATCAAGGTAGAAACCATTTAGGAAAAATGCAGTTTATGTGTTTTTTTTCCACTGTCTCAAAATAATTTAAAAAGGAAGAGTGGAGAGAAAAGAATGAAGGAGAAAGGGGATTTCAATAACTAAGTCATCCTAGAACTGTGTGGTCACTGACTGTAGGGACGATGACCTTTTTCTGTCTACCCCAAAATTCCAGTCCTTCCTCCAAGTCCTTTGGGAGCACACTTTACCCCAAACACACAAACACTGCCCCCAAACTAAAATCAAAAAGGCTACAATTTTCATCTTCGTAAAGACTGATGCTTACGTAGCTTGGGCCACGTAATACGAGCTTCCATTTAACAGAGTCTGCTGTATCACTGCCCTTCCATGGACCACAAAAAATCCAAAAAAATCCACAGGTGTTACCATCACATTCCCTACGGGGCCAGATCAAGCCAATGACGACAATATACAGAGAATGGTGTTAACCAGCACGAGGCAGAAGTAAAACCCACAACTCTGCCTGAGAAATTCCTTCTTTTAAACCATAAATGCCAAATAATCCCCTTGGTAGGCATAAAGCATCTCTCGTTCTAGGGCCCTTATGGGGGCTCTCAGTTCATCTGTCAGCCCCGCAAAGAAGACAAGCACTCACACACTGTTCCCACTGAAGCAGGTCAGAGAGGCCCCGGGCGCACCCTTGACAGCATCACACTGAAGAGGGGCCAGCCAACCTCCTGCCCCCAGACAGGAGAGCCGTGATCCTGCTAGCTCAAAGATGTCCCTCTAGAAGAAAGACAGAACCAGCGACTGAAGGGTCACTTTTAAGTTGGTCTCTCCCGATCCCTGGACAAGAGTGAGAGGGACACACGGACAGTTAAGGGGTGGGGTGTCATCGTGAGATGATTCAAGGGCCAGCATCAAAGAAAGGGAACGAGGCAAGAAGCCTCCGAGTGGTGAAAGGTCCCAGAATAGGCAGCAGGGACGGTTGTACAACCCTGTGAATGACCTTCAGGCTGCTGTCTCATACACTTAAAAATGGTGAAAGTGGCAACTGTTTTTTTTTTTGTTTTTTAAAGATTTATTTATTTATTCGTACAGAACTGGGATACAGGCCAGAGATGCGGAGGGTGAGAGGCTTCACCAGAGACAGAGTGGGGAGCAGAACAGGCAGACCGACGAAGTACACTGCTGAAGGGAGCAGCGGGCGGGTCAGGAGAGGTCTGCCAGGCCATGTGGATCTCCTCTGGGGCAGGTGGGATTCGAACTCATGCAGAAGTGGCTTAAGCTTCTTTGTGCAGTGCTTTAACCCGCTGCGCCACCAGGGAGGGCCTGAAAGTGGCAACTTTTATGTTATGGGTATTGAACCACAATTTGTAAAATTGATAGAGAAAAAGCCTCCATGGAGTTCGGGAGGCTGAGATGCATCACCTCTGCTTGCAAAGAAAGCAGCTGGCGAAAAGCTGGAGGTTGGAGTCAGGAGCTGGATGTGAATCCTGGGACCCTGTACTGAGCGTCTTTAGGCAAGTCTTGGAGTCCCTCTGGGCCCTGCTTCATCTGAAAACATGGGGTCATCACCTACTCCTGACTTGTCATTATGCAGAACAGTGCTTCAAGGCTGGTACTCTAAGGCACTGGGGAGGAGGCCCCTAAGTGGAGGCTGCAGCTTTTGTTTACATGGGCCTCTTCCTTTGCTAGACACACCCTCACCAAAGGAAAAAATAAAGTGGGAACCACAGCAATGTGTTCCAGGATGGTGGCCCCTCCCCCTCACCCCTGGAGCAGGGTGACAGGCCACCCTCTGGCTCCTGGCCCTCTCCACCCACGCGGGAGGGAGTGTCTCACGGTGACACAGAGCAGCAGGGGGGCTTGGACCCTGGCATGGGTGCCCAGGGAGACACAGCGCCTTGGCTCATCAGCCCGGGTCCTGGGTGGCCCCATCAGCCCTTCTGACTCAGCTTAGAGGAGGTGGAAAAGTCCCAGTTGTGCTCAAAGAAGCTCTGTCCAGAGACTCAGAGGATTTCATCACTTATTCCTTCTCTATGTGCAGCTCTGTTGGGCTCTAAAATTCCAAGGCTCAGGTCTGGTTCAGTCTTCTGTGTTCAAGCTGAATGACTTTCTTCCTGGGTGAATCCCAGGAATACAAGCAGAGCAGAGAGAACTTTAAATATGCAGCTATCTTCTCATTCCAAAGATGAGAGCATGACGCCCAGAGGGCCTGCATGACTTGCTCAAGGCCCCAGTAGGGTGGTAAACAGTAGAGCTAACACCAGAAGAAATGCTGAGACCACTGGGTGGGCACATGGTGACTCTGGTGGGTGACATTAGACACATGGGCAAACCTAACACAGGCTCTCACTGCTGACAGGCAGCACACCCTCTCCTGTCTCATATACACAAGTCTGACTGTAGCATCCAAGGCCAGTGGGCTGGGCCCTGGGTTCTCTGTAAAGAGATGTGCAGGGTTCACCCTGATTTCAACCAAACAGGGACCACACTCTGGGATGGGAGACATGTCCAGTAAGAAGCTACCTTCATAAAAGGTTAGTTGACATGAAATCAGGTTTTTATAATCCAAATTACAGAAAGGAAGCTGTTCCAACTGCTCTAGGCTGGCAGTGATGAGCAGGAGAGAGAGCTCCTGTGATGGCTGTCTGGGTGCAAAGAGCAGGGTGCTTCCTCAGGGGACTGTGGGTTTGAACAAGCTCAGCATAACTATCTGCATCTCTCAGCTCCTGATCGCCTACCCCGACTGCAAATAAAGGTCAAAGGCTGGTGGGGACTACCCACAGGATTATTCGGTGGTTGAGAGCCAAAGGCAAGACAGGAGAGTCATGCAGAAACCTGGTGCCAGACCCCAGGTGCAAGGAGCAAACCCTGAGTGCGTGAATGAGGGCCTATGCAAACTCCACCCCCTGAGATTTCTGTGGGCTCCCCCTCCATGAGTCTTGGGAGCCCAGAGCTACAATCCTAGCACACCATGAATCTGACCTGCTGAACGGGAGGTCGCTGGGAACCAGGGGTGCAGCAAGCCTGGTGTGTCACTGACATGTGAACGCATGCGCTCTCTTGCTTCTGTAGCCTGACCTGCCCCTTGGCACTGCTGGGAAGGAGATTTGGGGGAGACACGTGTAGAGACACATGGGAGATGTAACTGACACGTGGGTGAGAAACATGGGGAGGCAGCTCCTGGTCCTTGGCAGACAATGGCAGCCGCTGTCCTAACTTCACGGTGCATTACCTGGCATATTTTGAATTCTGGATCTCTCCTTCAATCCCACTTCTTTGGGACCTGCTTAATCCCTTCCGTGTGGCTCCTGCCGAAAGGTACCTTAGACTTGTGGCAAGTTTTCAAGCCTCAGCACACTGCTTCGGGTTGACCCTGCTAAGCTGGACATTCCCACAAAGGGGATAGGGAATCTGGAGAGTTTGAGTGGGAACTAACATCCTTTCTTGTCTCCTCTCTCTAGTTTCATTGATTCTATTAAAGACCTTTCACACTAAGAGTGTGCTTCCTTTGCCTTGGCGCGGCACATGGCTAACACTAGCCCTTTTAGAGCATGCACCCCTTTACAGTTTGGGGTCCATGGGTGCCCCTCAGCTGCATGCTCTAATATAGCACTGATCAACTGATCAAACAGCCAAGGGGACAGTGTAAGAAGCCACTGCTCTGGCCCTCCCTGGTGGCGCAGCGGGTTAAAGCACAGCACTGAGAATCTAAAGCCGCCTCCCCATGAGTTCGATTCCCGCCTGCCGCCTGACCCGGAGGTGACCACATGGCGTGGCATACCTCTCCTGACCCGCCCGCTGCTCCCCTGAGCAGTGTACTTCGTCGATCTGCCTGTTCTGCTCCCCACTCTGTCTCTGGTGAAGCCTCTCACCGCCCCTGAGCCTCTGGCCTGTACCCCAGTTCTGTATGAATAAATAAATAAATCTTAAAAAAAAAAAGAAGCCACTGCTCATTCTGATGACCAACAGCCATCACAGCAATGAATGAAAGGGGATTATGCAGATGAGTGGACAGAGGCTTATACCCCCAGGGAACCCTGAAAACAAGACCCCAGGTGGAGTGCTTCATTCAGGTTATGCCACCAAAAGGCAAGGTACCGTGAGCGTGAGTGGGGCAGGAGAGGCCAAGGATGTCCGTGCCCCCATTTAATGTAAATCTGCAAGTTAGAGAAGGGCTGGGAAGAGTTGCAAGTTTAAAAAGCAGTGTTCCTTGCAGAAGAAGCGTGGTTTTTGTCAAGGTTACATAACCTACTGGCTGCAAAAATATGTCGCTGGGTAAGCGTTTGTCTCTCTCTTGGGCATCAACTCTGATAGTTTTCTCTTTTTTACTCTTTAAACACATTTCTTTAGTTTGCCTTCTTTGCATGTAAAATAATCTCTGCATATCCACGCCTCTGCAGGGGAGAAAGAAATGCAATTTTCTGCAGTTGAGGCAAGTCCTCCAGCGGGCTTTATCCAGCAGGGGAATGTGTGCTCTTGAGCTGGTATTTTAGGGAAAAGCCCATTGACTGCTTGGGCTGGGAGGGAGGGGCAGGGAGGAGACAGGCAAGGGAGGAAGGGAGGTTTAAGACGGGCCTGCTTGTACAGCCACATCTGCCAAGACTTGCAGGATCTTCTTCCCTCCTTATTACAGGCAAAACTTTGTGCCCCAAAATTCACGTGCTGATACCCTAACCCCCAGTACCTCAGAATGTGTCTGTATTTAGAGACAAGGCCATTAAAGTGATGGCTAAAGTCAAATGAGCTCATGAAGATGGCCCTAGTCCCATCTGACTGGTGTCCCAAGAGGAAATCAGGACACAGACACACTCAGGGAGGACCAAGTAGGCACAGAGGCAGATGGCAGAGGCCTCTCTCAGAAGAAACCAGTTCTTCCAACACACTGACAGCAGCCTTCCAGCCTGCAAGGAAACAAGTCCTGGTTGTGTCAGCCACCTGGTCTGTGGTCCTTGGCTAGAGCAGCCCCAGGAGACCAGTGCCCTCCTGGTGCCATCCTGTCCCTCCCCTTCATGTCTGGACTGGTCACTTTTCCTCCTTCAAATATCTGTCCCCTCTGTGTTCCTACTCCGCTTCTCTAATTTTCAGAGCTACTGTCTGGCTTTTGAAAAACACAAACAAGAAATTTTCTTTTCTTTTGCTGTTCACAAAGCTCAGCTAAGAAATGTCAAGGGAAAAAAAAAAAAGAAAATGCCACCAAAACAGGCTTCTACTTCCATCCGCCCTCACTGTCAGGACACGCCTGGACTCTGCCAGGGCTAGTGTGGGTGTGGGCCTCCTGCCAGGCTGGAGGGAAAAAAAGTGCACGCCTGGCATTCCTCTGACTTTCACTTGGATTTTGCAGGACGGTGCAGAAAGGCCTACCATCTTCAGACAAATGAGCGTCCACAGGAATAGGCCCTGGGTGTGCACAGGTTAACACTGTTACCTCCTGCTAACTGGTCCTCCTTTTGCAGAGAGGAAGCTACGGGGTGGGACCCCCAAGATGCCTGTTTTGAACTATTTATGAGTCATTTTCATTGTGATGCCTGTTCTCATCTCAATTTACTCCACCCACTTCTATCCTGTGGAAATAACTCCTTGACCTTAGAATGCAGACCAACGAAAAGATGCCAAGCATGCAATTTCAAAAAACCTCTCAACCTGATAGAGTCAAAGGGGAAATGTTAAAAGAGGTTACCTGTAATGACCCAATAGTCTCTGGTTGTTTCTGATATATCAAGGTTGGGATATTCCAGCGCTGCAATAAACCAAAAGCACACCAAATTACTTACATGGGTTTCATATGTAAATGCCGTTCAGGGAAATGAATACAGGCAATAAAGAAGTGGGCTGCTAAATCCTGCTCTATCACTCTTGGGAACTCTGGGACACACAGTCCAAAATGACACAGACAACTCACTCAGCAAAGAGCTAAGTTGCAAATGTAGAGTTTTCTAAGGTTTATGGGCTTCTTTTGGATTTTGCATCAAAATCTTAAGTGGAACATCTTCATGATCTAGACTGACAGCTAGAAACTATCTTAGCAATATAGCTTCCCCTTTAGAAACTATCCAGCCATCACTAACATTTTTAGGAATGATTATCTCTTAAATGGATTGTCCAGTATCAAGCACTGGGTTTAGTATCAAATGCTACTTGTAACAAATGGTCTTATTTCTTTGCAAGTGTGGTAGACATCAGAGTTAATCTAAGAAAAAGGCTTAGCACAGTGCCTGGTACATAGTGGGTATGCACGTGCTGTCATATGACATAAAGCATTCTTTATGACACCTTTCTATCCAATCCTAAGTCATCTTTCCTTTATGGAAATTCACAAAAGCTGGCTATTTATTTGCAAAAAAAAATTCAGAATGACTACTATATGTTAAATAAGTACACACACCCACACACACACACATTATCTCATTGGTTTGTATCAAAAGCGACCACAGAAGGAAACAGAAATAATTTTGCTAATATGCTTTTTTAAAAAACTTGCCCAGTGACCTTGAGAAATGTAGCAATGATTAAATTTTAGACCACAAATCTTTATGTCCCCTTTGGCCACCAAGTAAGTATTTGGGTACAAAATGTAGGCTGCATCGTCTTCAAAGTCTATGCCTGCTGCATTGCAATGAGCATTATGTAACTGAAGCATTAGAGGAAGATGAGGCCACAGACTATGGGGACTTCAGCAAGGGAAGTCACGATGCTGATCACAAGTGAGTTGCATTATGATCACTGTCGGCAGTGCAAGGTCCGAAGCCTGGGAGCACCTGCTGATGGCAGAAGCATGGGAAACCATAGCAACCAGATTGCTGGGAGGACAAGTGCCCTGCCAGGCAGTTATTGCAAACTCAGAAGGTAGATCGCTTGGCTTCAAATTCCAGGTTCCCGGTCTCACAGGTATGTTCAAATAGGCATCTTATTAAATCTCTTAGTGCTTTAGTTTTCTCCTCTGCAAAACAGCACTATTTTTGCACCCAACTGATAGGGTGATTGAGAGGATTAAATGACACAAGCGGTAACTGAAGGGTAAAGTGAGGCCACAGTGCTTTTTTTTCAACATGCAATCAAACTCACTTATCTTGGTGGTAGTTACATGACAATAGAATTAGTATGCAGCCTGTCATGATAGCTGTGTTTGCTAAATGGTGAAAGGCCTCTGGGAAAAATGACAGAAGCTCCATGTGACATTCTCATACTCACGTTCAGCGATGGTGAGTGGAGGGTAGGTGAGGTAGAAACCCACCAGCTCGGCCGAGAGCTGGCGGAGAAGGCTGCTGGCGACCGTGCCGTTGAGGAAAGAGCTCTGATTGCCCACCACGTACACCAAGGTGACTGTCTGGGAGGCGTTGGACGTAGCCACAATCTGGATTGACACAGGAGGAAAGGGGAGGGAGACATGCCAAATAAGATGAGGGTCTGTTTCGTGGAGGCTGTGGGAGAAGTTTAAGCAGAAGTTGAAGATAGGAATGAAAGGGAGGTGGAGAAAGAGCAAGGAAGAGACAAGAATAACAATAGTCACCATTTACCAGCTGCTATGTGCTGGGCACTGACATTATCTCATTTCATCCTGACCACAGCCCTATGAGGTGATCTCATTTGCAAATGAGGAAACTGAGGCCCAGAATAATCAAGGCCCAAGGTATAAGTAATAGAGCCAGGATGCAAACCCACTCTGGTTGTAGATTTTAGCCACTAGTGTGTGTCTCTTTTCCGGGGGTTCAATTGTCTTCTAGGTTACTTTTATAGCTCTAAAAATACAAAGAACAGAGAAATATTAAATTTACAGAGGGCTTAACTGCAGTTAAACTCAGGGAATGTTTAAGTTGAAAAGACAGAGGAGGTACATATTTGATCACTAATCTAGTAATGAACAGAGTACCAGAACCTGATTATGCAAGGAATTCAGAAATACAGTTTCTTTGGAGATCTCTTAAATTTCCTTGTGGCCCATTAATTCAACATAGGATATGTAAATATTACTATGAGATGATGTGACATTCTTCTAGCATTTTGTTTAAGTCAGCTTTTTAGTTACTGGAAAATTAAGTTTTTGGAATCAACACACAGGCAAAAATATCCCACAGGTGAGATGTGAATAAATAGATTCAGTCCTTCAATTTTGGGAGGCCGCCTCTGTTGGGTTCTGTGCTGGTGTCTACCCCTTTCTCCTCCAGATCCATTCCCTACCCCCAACTCATCCTGCTCAGGGCTCTCAGTTGGCTCCTTTGCCCTCTGAAGTCAGCCAAAGGGACCTTGGGAAGGATGTAGGAAAGAAGGAGTAGTCAAGAAGAGTTCATGAAGAAATCCTGTAAGCACCTGGATCCAATTGTACTGAAGTAAAATAAGCAATAAACCTTTCAGTTACATAAACCAATCACTACCTCTTTTTGGTTAAGCCTTGGGTGCTTGGATTCTATCACCGGCCATCAAAAATGTGCTAAGTAAGTCTACTGTAATCTAGCCCCGATATCAATGATATCCTAGTAAAACCTTATATAAACAATGTCACATTTGTGCCCCGCAATTATATTATCTGCATTAAAATGGCAAGTTATTAATTATAAAACCAGATTCCAGAAAAATGTGTGTCTAGAGTGTTACTAAATCTGGGTAACAACTTTGCTCTGGCTTCCTGTCAGCCAAGTCAAAAAGTGAAACAAGGTTAATAAAAACAATTCACCTCATTATTCACTTCAACAGGTGCTAATGAATCTAAACTCTATTTAGATGCAATTTCAAATTACCATTTGCAGTCATTTCCAAGGAAGATGTTACTTGCTTTCATAAATTTCATCTCATGGCTCATGACTATTTTACCACACCATAGGACAGGCTTCTTAAGGCTAACCACAGTTTATTTATCTTCGCGTCTCTACCCATGCTGAATAGCAGGCGCTCTTAAAGTCTGTGCTTCTAGAATACAATTAGAGTATTCTCTGCTGCCACACTAGACTCATCCAGCTCTGACAGTCACAAATCCAGTAAGAAAAATATCTCCCATAAAAGAGCTGAGTCATACTCCTTACATAAATCTTACATCTGCAACACTTTTTTTTTTTTGCAACACTTTTTTTAGATCTTAGTCTAATATAAACCAAGTTATAATGAGATACTTCCATGTACACTTAGGATGACTCTAGAAAAGGGAAGTTGCTGCATCATAATCAAATTATATGCTTTCTATTTCATATGTTGGCTTTGCTGGTAATTCACTGATATTAAATGTCAAATTCAAAACCACTGGATTTAACTGCAAAAGATTTAGTTTAGTTAAAAACAGAATCGCTGGGTAGTGCAGTTGGAGAAAGCTGGGGGGCTTGATGGACATCCAGCAGTCTGGCACTAGTGAGATGTTATCTGTATCACTGCACAGGGTGGGTCTGAGAAAGGCCTTTGGAAGCATATCTAACATAAACTCAACACACAGTAAAACAGGAGTAGGAGTTGCCTGGGAAAGAACTCATGTGTCTGCCAAAAATTTCATCAAGAATCCCACTTTCACACTGCACTGATACAGACATGCATGGTGGGTAGGACTGTGTATGGGCTTTGATTCTATTCTTTATGCCATTCTTTACCAACCTTGTGACTTTCTGGAAATTTCTCAGGCTCTATCTGAGTTCCCTTTTCTGTGAAATGGGGATAATAATACTTCAGAAGGCTGACTTGAGTACTATGTACCCAAACATTGGTAAAGCCTTCGCACAGTTTCTGGCACATCGTAAGCCCTAAATACAAAATGTGTTTAAATTAAGACGATTGCTCATGTGACTGTCTGAAAAATAACTCAGTGCAAATCACAGATGAGGCAAATCTTGATGTGATAGCTATTTAGAATGGATTCATTGTACATAGACATTTGGCATCTCTTCTATAGTATACCTACCTCTGCTTTTAAAATCAATCGAAGTATCGGGCAGATCTGAGGAAGTGTCACACAGGAAAGCAAATGTAAATCTAAATCACAGCAGGTACATAGCAACATGGCACCCTCCTGTCAGGGCAACACCCCAGTCCTCCTCATCATCTGGGGCCAGACTGGACTCAGTGGGCCCAGAGTGACACCTTCTCAGGTCTCTACCATGTACCCAAAGGACAAAGGTACATTTACACCAAGTGACTTTGACATGGGGGACCATGAGTCTTGCCAGCATGTATAGCGGGCTTGGTCTCCGCCGATCACATAGATGAAGTGCCCTTCTGCTTACCTGAATCGTCAGGTTGCTTCTGGTATTCAGGACTTTCCCCTCAGCATCCTGGAAGGCCTTCTGTAGCCGCTGCTCCATCGTCTGAGCAAACTTGCAGGACTGTATGTTGTCGGATTGGCTCACAAACTGCAGCACTGCAATGAGAGTCAGAAATCAGTGCTCACCACAGTTCTGCATCTTAGTCCCTTGTACTTACTGCAGGCACGATGTAACACAGCATGATTTTACATCAGAGAAATTAGGCAAATAAAGACAGACACGGTTGGCTGTAGTTTTGAAAGTGGCTCTTAACATGGTTAATAACAGAAAAATTAAATGCATTATCGCACCAGAGATTCCCTCCCGTGCAAAGGGTTTTGTGATTTTGTTTGAATGGAGCATGTAGACATCTGCTCTAGGATAGACAAAAAAAAAAAAAATCCTACACAAAAAATATCCTACAGGAAATCAGGCCTCCTATTTCTTTGGAGGGGAGGAATAATCAATTCACTCACTTACTAAGTTGATAATCTTTCAATTTCAATGGTTTCTCTGCTCTCATGGTTTACAAACCACAACAGCAGAAATCACCAGGGAGCTTGACTGAAAGAAAGATTCTGAGGCCTGAGTCTGGAGATTCTGATCCAGAAGCATCTAGAACACACTGGTCCAAAGCACAGATTGTATGGCACTTCAACTCTTATCAGTGTTCAATGTAAGAGAAAAAAACATAAAAAATGCAGTGCTTGGTACTCCTAAGTACTAATTATATAAGTTGGGAAGAAAGGCTCCTATTGGAGGAAGGTTTCTAATAACTCCCGGGTTGGGAAGTATAGACTGATGTGTAGGGACCCTGAATATGTGATTAGCAAAGCCCTTTGCGGAAAGCACACAGGGACTTAGGAAATGCCAGAATAGAGAGCAATGGCAATCTTAGTTTTATTAATGAAGTACTATTGTTTTACATCTTTGTTAACATTTAAATCAGACATGTTTCTCTCCTTAGTGTGGTCATCATTGCTCTCCCACCACCACCCATAGCCTCCACCACTTTGGCAATGGGATTTTTAAACAGGTATTCTCTTGCTACTGTCTGAGAATAGGAACACTTTTTTTTTTTACATCGTTGTTCATGCGCCACTCAGGTATAGTCCCCATAAAATCACTACTGTCAAGACACCGGTGAACCATCACCATAGTACCTTGTGCTCTTTCCTCCCCTATTTCGATCCCTCCCCCCTCTCCAACTCACCCTCCCAGTCTAAGTGACTTGCCTGTTTTCAGCTGGAAGGAGCTAGCAGGCTGGGGATTCCAGGAGGAGGCTAGGACTGCCACAGACTGCAAGTTTGGGGTATGTTGCTTCAGATCTGCAGTGACGTTGCTGACCCCATAAACAGCCAGCATTTCGGTCACCACGGCAGGCAAATACACCAGCCTCCCTCTGGTAGCGTAATACCCAACTGTGACATTATGAGAATGTTCCAGAATGTCCACCTACAAAACAAATAAACCCACAGAACTTAGTGCTTATTTCCACGGTACTTAAAGTTATTCTCAGTGTTTGTCAGGACTACAACTGTTATTTAGATTTGGGGGGAGGGGATTGGAAGCTCTCATTCAACACACACATAACAATCATATAAAGCATGCATAGATTGGAAAGTTTCAAACTATCAGAATACATCAAAACTTATACCAAACCTAAATGGAATAGAATTAAATCTGTAGGTTTTATTTCTTGGTTTTTGGTTTTTTATGCTTTAAGTGCCTCCATTTAACCCTGTGAACACTAGTTATCAACCAAGAAGGCGGACAGGAGATTTCCAGGAAATGGATTCCTCGGGGAAACAGCTTTATTATATTTCTCATCATTTGTGAACACTAACAGAAAGAAATGATAAACTAAGGACACCTTCAGAACAAGAGTCACTCAGGAAATTAGGTGAATTCCTCTCTTTAGAAGCCGAGAGAAGAATCATTCAGACCTGACTCTACTCTTGGCTTCTAACTTGGTCCAAGATCAAGATGGGGAAGGGCCATGAAGCGTCTCTCTTGCCAGTGAGCCCTAAGATTCTCTCTTACAGCTGATGATCTGAGCTCCTTCTGATCCAACTAATGATCTTGAGACTTTAGATTTTATTCTTTTGTTTTGCTTTCTTGGTGTTGCATATTAATGGTTCAGGTGCTTTAAATACCCATTATTGGTGCTTTTCTCTCTTATTCTTCTTGCACGGCCATCACTAGTGTCATGCCTATTTGCCAAAAAAACCAAGACAACAGGTTTTACAACAGGCTGGCTGTGCCTCGGGACCCTCCAAAGGATCCTCACAACTTTGTTCCCTAAAGGTGGGGTTTGAGACCATTTTCTTTAAGTAGGACAAGAGATATTTCTGGTTGTTCCTAACACAGCACTAAAAAGCACCAAACCATCGGATGAGGAAGTGACTTCCCCATCAATCCCCCTGATTACTTAAGGAGCAAGGCTCAGCTTGAGGATTATTTACTTTTGAAACCTCTAATCCTTGCTAATCATATTTTGAAACAAAGGTAATACTCTCCAGCTTGAATTTAACAAGTTATTTTCATAATATGATTACTTTCTATCTGTGGCAAAGACTCTTGACTTTCATTGAGGGCGGTAATATCAAAACATCTTTGAAAAGAAATGTATTAAGGTTTTTTTTTTAAATAAGTAGATTTCAAAGCAACTAATGTATATGAATTGGCACAGCAGTCTCTAAGGATAGGCAGAAAAGGCCAAACTGAAGGCAGTTTGCAAATGGTTAAATTTAGTGGAAACTGTACCTAGTAACCAAAAGGAAACATTCACATTTTCAGCTTTCAAATAAAGTTTCTGGTGCAGAAAGCACTGGTCCCAGATGTCGCTTGTGAAATTCTTTTTTTTTTGGATTAGATAACAGAGTTTGATTATGACCAATCAACGATGTACCAAACCTTATTTCCAGTCTGTGGTGTGCTGGGGAAGGGGCAGTAAGCCCAGTGCAGCTGAGAACAAAACGTCAAAGGAAAAAGTGGTGCAAAGGGTTGTCTACTGCCTGCCAATCCTGTTTACAGCTTTAAAACTTGGAATCAAACCAAAGGCGGAGAAAGCAGACCTCTATCACTGGGACATGCCATCAGAATCAGCTAGCAGTTGTTAAACAGCACTTGGCATAAAAGTGTTTGGAGGAGAAAAATGTTTACTTCCCCGTCTGTTCTTAGCAATTTAAGCAAAGCTGGACTTTATTTACGAGTCAGAATAATTTTTAAATGTCCAGAAATAAATCACTAGCTATTTACAGGGCTGAGGAAGATACAGGAAAAAGCAATGATGGTTTCTAGAGAATTAAATTAACAACATTAAATACTATTCCCAAACAAGGGGATAACGGACAATTTAAAAGAGTATATCCGTGCTAAAAAAATCTCGACATAAGGCAATTAGACTCAATTTATCATCTCAAAATTTGACCTTTCTCTCCAGCCACCACACATTAGCTATTTGCCAAAATGAAGAAAGATCCTCCTTCTGGCAAGTGAGCTTATGGCTCTCAGGGAGGAAGAAAACCATCAAAGCATATTCTGGACCCAAAAGGAAGATATGCCTGCATTAGTGTGATCATGAAAGCAAGGGGCTTACATGGGCCGAGACGTCATTCTGGTGGAAAGCCTTCCGCAAAGCCTGCGTGAGCCCTTTGGCTACACTGAACTTCAAAGAGTCACCGAAATGTCCTCTCCTTTGGGTCAGAAAGAGAACTGTGGGGCAAAACAGAAGCATGTCATTGGGGAGGTGCCCAGCTAGTTACCCAGCCCTCCTGACCCCAGCAGACACCACCTCCTGCAAGTTCTGAGCAACACTGCTGAGCACAGGTCTAACCAGAGAGAGGGGTGGCTGTCCCCCCCCACCCCCCGGAGAGAGGGGAACAGCTCTGCTGGCCCCCAACAAGTCCCAAGGAGAAGTGGTCCCAGTCTCCTGCACGTCTCCAGGGCAAAGGAAGTGAGTGTGTGGGTGGCGCATCCATGGCCAGGAGACTAGCGCTGCCTCTCACCTTGACAGTCTGGATGAGCAGTGCCTGCCCCTCGGATCTGCCTGCAAGCACATTCCAGCTGCAGCATTCCCGGAAAGCAGCTTAGATGCAGGCCCTGAGCTAGGGCACAGACCTAGCCAGTGCAACCAGCCTGAGGAAGGAAAGCGCCTTCCACATTCCCCCACACAAGAGGACGGTGACAGGGATAGTTCCCTGGGATGGAGAGGAGGCAGCTGCATGTGACAAGTGCTATTTGAGGGGAAGCCAAGGATACTGGAGGCCCCAGGAAGGGTAAGGGGGCTGGGGGCAAGAGATGGTTTCCTCAAAGAACTGATGGTTCTGCGAAGTCCTGAAGGACAATGGGAGTGATAGAGGACAAGGAGGGGGAGACTTCCCACCAGTTTTAGCAGAGAGAAGCCCACGTGCAAAGGTACAGAGGAGAGAAGTGAACTATTTCCATGTACATGGGTTTGGCCTCAAGGCAATGCAAAGTGAAGGGTTTTAAGCAACAGTCTGCATTTTGGAACTTTCCCTTGACTGAACAGATTGGGAGGTCAGGGAGGGGAGGTGGGGGTGGTTCCTAAAGACAAAGAGATGAATTTGATTGCTGTAGAAATTTAGCTGAGCCATGGTGACAGTGAACTAAGGAAGTGGACAGCAGGAGGTGGAACAGGAAGGGCTTGGTGGTTGACTAGGTGTGCCTAGGGTGAAGGGGATTAAGGAGAATGTCCCATTTTTCCACATCTAGGTGACTAGGGCTGCCTGTCACTCAGAGGAGGAGGCATAGATCTAGAAGGAGAGGGGGGAGGGGAGCGCAAAGCCAGATGGTATAATTTCTTGAGAAATAGAAAGAGATACTATACTTTCTGCTAGGCCTAGTTTCACAATTACCCGTTTTAGAATGGGGTATATCTCAAGATATAATTTCATTTAATTCTTTGTGGGGCGAGAGGAAGGCGGGATGCGAGCATTCAACATTGGCATGCTCTTTCAAATAACAAGCCTAATGCTTTTTATAGCAAACACTACCACACTATTAAAAGCACCCGATGTCTTCAAGGCCTGCTTTGCTGCAACTGGGTGGTGGAAGCCAAAGAGACAGCACCCTCAGGCAGAGAAAGACAAATACCATGAGATCTCCTGCAGGTAGAATCTTAAAGAACAAACCAAAAACACCCTACCAAGCTAAACTTAATACATAGACTATGTTGGGGCTGCCAGAGGAGAGAAGTGGGTGAAGGTGGTTAAAAGGTATAAACTTCCAGTTATCAATAAGTTCTGGGGATATAAGGTATAGAACAGTGACCTTTGCTAGCAGTCTGATACTAGATATTTGGAAGTTACTAAGAGAGTTTTTAAATAAGTTGTATCATGAGGAAAAAAATTAAGTATGCATAGCACTGGGTATGAAGTGGGCTCAGTGCGGTGACCAGTTCACAGTATATACAATCATCAAATCATCCTGGAGCTAATATAATGCTGCATACCAACTACAACTCGATCCAAAGAAAATCTGAAACAAGATCCACTGGGCAACAACTTCTCTTTATGTAACTAATGAGCATTTCTGGGGGATGTGCTTTAAAACCATGCAAATGCTCCTTTGTCATAAACCAACTAACCAATAAAATCAGTGAATATTAAAATTACCCAACTTTTCCAAGGTTCCTCTTTTAATATCAAGAGATGGCAAAAGTGTCCTGCAGCTGTCCTTTCAGTATCTGCTAATTGAGAAAATACAGAATTTCTGGATTCTGAAGCATTCCAAGATTCTGTACTTTAGGAATCATCATTCATTCAGGTGAGACACCACTGAACTTGCTCTACCAGAAAAACGTGGTGCACATTTGCTTTTTCAGCCTCCTGGCAAAGCTGGTTCCCCAGGGCCCTCTGACATTGGGGTGGGCCCCAGGACTGGAATCGCTTCACTTGAGGGCAGAAGCTCTGACCTCAGCACTGCTGACACTGGGTTGGGTTAGCCTGCTGTCAGACTGTCTGTGAGCTGCAGGGCAGTTAGCAGGTGTCCTGGCGTCTGTCCTGCTAGGTGCCTGCAGAGATTCCCTCCCCCCTAAGCTGTAGACACCAAAAATGTCTCCATTTTTGTGCAAAGGTCTTCTGGAGGAGCACAGCTGACCCCAGGTTGAGAACCACTGATCTCAAAGCTGATTCTAGTACATCTCAGCCCTGAATGTGCTTGCTGCTTTCAAGTACAATCAGCACGGCAGGCCCTTACCTGTCTTCACCAGGAGCTTAGTGGACATCTGGCACTCCAGGCTGGACGCCATTTTTCCAGTTGTGACCACTGCAGTTGACACAGCAGGAAGAGCAGCATTTGTGTTTCCTGTCAGCACAGGGGGCAGCCGGGTGGCCCTTACCGGCGCAGTGATGGAGGTCAAGGCGGCTGTGATTGTCAGTGGGCGTGTGGTGGACACCCTGGGCATGTCTGGGTTGGTGGGGTCTGGAAGGCCCGGGTGCATGGCTTGTGGCTTCCTGGGGAGGTGTGTTGTGGACAACAGGCCAGAGGCAGTGCCCGTGTTCCCTTGCATGGCTGTGTGGGTGCTCATGGTGTGCGATGTTCTTGCAAACATGTAGGTTGGCGTGAACGAGAAGGCTGTGTGGACTGCTCCTGGTGTCACCTTTGGGCCCGATGCTGCACTGTTTGAGACATTTTTAGCTAGAGCAGCGCTCTTGACTAATCCTGAGGCCATGGCCGCAGGACCACTACCAGTGCCCTTTGCCACTAGGGCCGCTGACAGCGCCGGCAGGCTTGATTTCTTCAGAAACAATGTGGCAGCTGCTGGCGTGGGTCCTCCCTTGGATGACACCGAGGAGTTCACTAGGAAAAGAGGAAAAACAAAGCTCATCAATGACCTGGAACACACACACACATCACTTGTGATGAAGAGATGTAAATTACGGGTTTGCTGGGGTTAAAAAAAAAATCTCCGTGCTCTACAATTTAGGCTAAACAGCTTTAGGTTCATTAAGTCGATTAACCATAACAAGATTGCCACTTAAAGCAAAGCTAGGGCGGGTGATAAGGTCACGTAAATTTTGAACACTTTCAAAAAATCAAGTTGGCAGGGGATCAGTGCCATGACTGTTTGGGTTGCTAATTCATTCATCATCCTGACAGGGTATGCCTGCACCTTCTGAGCAAAGCTGGGAGTCTGTGTTGAGCTTGAAGATGCTTTGACAACAGAAGCAGTCACACCTCTTTTGGGGGAACCAGGAAACAAGCTACCTGCATTAATGGCTGCACCTGTCCATTTCTTGGGGCGCTGAGAAGCCAGCGGCACTTTGGATGGGTTCCTGAATAAGGCACTGGTTGAGAGAGAAGGCGGTTCAGCAGTCAAGTGATATTTCAGAACACTCTGGAATGTTGTAGAAGCATTCCTCACAGGAGATGGATGCATGTCGCTGAGAATCGGGAAGCTTGTATCCCTTCCCTCTGCAAACATTTCCTGCAAGCTAGCAGTGGATGTTAGACTTGGAGAGGCTGGTGAAAGTAGATGTGTTGGATGAGGCAGAGACACAGAAGACTGACTTAAGGAAGGGTAATCTTCAACCTCACCTGCTTGGAAATCCCTGGAATGATCGTGGCTGCTTATGGACAAGAAGTCTGTATGGTTTCCAACTTCGGTAGCAACCGACTGTTGAATGAGCTGTTGGATGCCTGTATCAAGCGCTGGATCCTGAATGCTAACGCTGTCTGTTGTTGCTAAATGTCCAGCGGTATCTTCTGAATCCCGAGCTTTTATTGTACTGACAGCTGAAGTTAAATCAGGGGCAGGAGTAGTTGAAACTGAATGAGTGTCCCAACTTGTGGAGTTAATTGTGTCCCCATTTACATCATAATTTGTTTGCTGCAGCAAGCCAGATACCATTGGTTCTGTGGAAAGGGATCCAGTTTCTGCTAAAAAAGAACTCCAGAAAACATCTGTGATTTCTGGCTTTTCCCTGTGTCCCATTGTTGAGAAATCATAGACCTCAGTGGAGGAGGGAAAGGCTGGCACCTGTTTGGAAGCTGAAACTGGCAACTCAGAAGTTTCTGGAGCAGCTGCAGAAGTCTCTGACTTGGTGCTGGAAAAGGGGGGAAACTGGGAGCCCGTCTGGGCAGTTCCTCCAGAGGGGCTGGAAGTCACAGGCAGTGCGGAAGGGAGGAGGGTTACCCTTGGTGTTTTAATGCCAGTTGGTGAAAGATGCCCTATGCTGAATTCAGAGGCAAATCCATTGATGGCGGGAAGACTTGGGATCTCTTTTGTTGGAAGGGTCTGGAGAGTGACGGTCACCTCTGCCTTTTCATTTTTCTTTGAAACAGCTGTCACACTATCCTCTTTCTGCAGGGGAAGTGTCTGGGGTGTGGAGATCAGGTTAGATTTGTGTGAGAGGAGGAAGTCTGTAGCTGCGGTCGGAGGGGGTCTATCGTTATCCTCTTCTTGAGGAGTTGACATTGGGGTGTTGGAGGGTGGAAAGACAGGGCTCTGTGTTGGCCGGAAGGAAGGCAGGATGGAGCGCCACTCTGCTGCAAGGCCATTCGATGGTGATCCAGGAACCGCCCCAGAAAGGATGGTTTGCCCCCAGCTAGCTGTAGTGAGAGGCAGAGAAGAAGGTACCAAAGAAGTGTGCTCTGCTGAAAGGGCAGGCCCTTCGGAATTCTCTGGAGCTGCTGACAAATGCAGTGGGTTAGCAGGAGCTAGCTTTCTGCTGGTCATTTCTATGGCCACTGATTCTGCAGCCTGGAAAAGAGAAGGCTCAGCCTCAAGGGTCACCGCGCTCTTAAAAGCCGGCAAGGACACCCCATGATGCACTCTTTCAGCCACCTCAGCTTCCACTGGCTGGGTGGATGCAGGACTTGAAGTCACTTCCAACAATGGCCTTGAGGGGGTTCTACCTGGAAGCTGAAGGGGACTCCCAGGTGCTAAGTGAGGGGGAGACACGTGGGCCAGTTCTGTCCCAGACTGCAAAGCCTTGGGCGTGGGGGAACCTGCTGAATGAGCATCCTCCGGGGAGGAGAGCTCAGAATCCTGCTTTGTGGGGGATCCAGAAAAGCCTAGAGCAGGGGTGCCTATTAAACCCCAGGCTCTGGGGGATGGTGTGCGGTTCACGGCCTCAGCAAGTGGGTGCAGGGGCTGAGCTATGCTCTGGCTTGAGAAGTCCACTGGAGCTGTTTGGGGAAATAAGGGCTCTTGAGTGGGTGGTTCAGCTGGCTCAGAAAAGATGATGGAATGAGGTGATGAGTCGGGAGTCAGTGAAGAGGGTGCAGATGGGGGGAGAAACAGGAGAATGTCTGACCTTGGGGACTGTTGTTTAGAAATGAAAGGCATCCCTACCCTGAGCGGCTGGGATATGAGGACTGCTCTCAAGGAGGTCACGGAAAGGAGAGTGGACAAGGGTGGGGTCATGCTGCTGTGAGGCCAACCTGACACGGCCGCTGCTTCTTCTCCCCCTTGAGTTCTTGGTGGGGCCAGGGACTCAGTGGAATCCTTAGAAGGCTCGAGGGAAGTGCCACGGCCACTTCCTCGGGAAGGTGGGGAAGAGAAGTCACCGTGGGCCCTAGCCCGGCGGTGCGCCTTGGGAGGGAGCGTCCGGGCCGACTGCGGCAAGCTCGTGTTGTCAGGAGCCAGGCCCAGCACAGTCCCAACTCTGCCCGCTGCGGAGGAAGACTGGACTTCTGAGAAAGGCCATGTTGGTGGAATCGGCGACAATTTCCCATGAGGAAATGACTCTGGGGTGGGGGTGACAGTTATCTGTAGATTGTCAGTTCCTGTGAAACAAAATAGCAAGCTGTCAGGCTTCGGGTAATCATTATGTGTCTGCTGTGGTGGATCCTGGAGAGAGGGGCGGGCAAGACAGGGCACTGCCCAGCGCCGCCAGCTCCCACTGCATCTAGAAAACTCACCAAACACTTGGAAGCAATGAATGAATGTGTGCGCTGCAGCTGGCCTGCAGGGCAGGGCCAGTGAAACACAGTCTCTGAGGAAGTGATGTCTGTGCAAAGATATGGAAGGTACTTGTGGAATTTACAGTTTTTTTCCTCTACCACCTAAAGGGCTGGACCACGAAACTCACAACCAAGATAATCAAAGGTCAGTGTGGCCACCTGCCACCCCAAGTCAACAAAATAAACTCCTCCTAGAACCCAAGGCCACAGAGAAGGGCTGTGTATTTGAATGCAAATCTTTTTGACTTTAGGACTAGAAGGCACATTCCAGCAGAACTTGGAGGTTGCCTGTGTTTGGAAAGATGGCGCCAGTAAGACCTTCATCTTGTCGGATTTAAAAGGATTCTGGATGCTATCATATCAGACAGTAAAGGGGATTTCTTTCAGATTAGGCTATTTCTGGAAGACAAAACTGTTCGCATCCCACCTAGGACTAGAGAGACACCTCTCAAAGGCCTTGATGCCACTGTGAGCACCTGCACAGACAGGTTCTAGGACTGTGAAAGCTGACATGTGAACCTGCAGGCAGAAAGGCAAGGGAAAAGGTGATGTCCATAGGAGAAGAGGGAGGTGACCACTGAACAGAAAGCTGACAACATCAGGCTTGGGAAGGAAAGCCCTGCTTGAGGATTCTCTAGCTTCTTTCCCCGGGTTCTGTGTTGATGATACTGACAACCCTGGAGCTGGCTAACCGTCCTTAAACAGTATTTTGAAAATAAAACAAAAGGGCACTTCTAGAGAGTTCTATATTATTAGCTAAAGATGTCAGAACTGTCAGGAGCTAATTTGTGTTTCAGAACAACCATTCTTGCTGTGGAATGAGGGACAGACAGGAAAGAAGTAAGAGTGGATGACAATATGTAACAGGTACAGGTTTCATGGACTCTGCCCCTACCCCAGATGCTGGAACTCCAAATCCCATCAGTACCAAGAAGAAGCACGCAGGGACGTGAGGGCGGAGCTGAGCAGTCAGGCTGGGATAAAACCGGACATGTGGGCTCTGGGGGGCTCTGGGCATGGTGGTTCGCAGCTGATCGCTTTGGTGCTCAATCGGTTTTCAGCGTGCCGGTGGAGTCCAAATCAGCAGAACTGGTAGGACATCCTAGTTAACCTGTGTTTCTCTCCCTTTTCCCCTGGGTTATTCTTTTACCTCCTTTCTCCTTATAAATAAATCCATTATTTAACCTTTTGAGTGTGTCCATAATACGATTGAATCGTAAGCTCACGGGTGAAGACCCACAGACAGGCAACCCAATTCACATTGGGGTGCCCTGTAACAAATACACCATTAAGGAAACACCTGTGGTGGTCCAGGCATGTGAGGACAGGCATGTTGTAGAGAGCACTGACCTGGGGTGAGAAACCTAAATAGGTCATTCTTTATGGTTCCTTTCTGATACAAGCTATGCAACCTCTGTCGACAGACATGGTACGGATGGAGGGGAAATGCTCTGAAAAATCAGACTTTTCATGCTAACTTATGTTATGACCTCCCTTTTTTGTATAATCGTAATATCAAAATATTCTGAGTGACCTTCAGCTTACATTGGATTGGCTCAGCCTCAGAAGGCGCTACCTGGCCCTGACAAGCAAGTACTGCACCAGGGTGAGAAATTCCTCTTGAAGTCAAAAGTCATCAAACAACCGGCTGATTAATAAAAACAAATGGCTGTTACTGCAAAGTCTCTCTCCCTGCCAGACTGAGGAAAACCCAAATCTTATCACTCTATCTCACTTAGCCTTCTATTCAGTTTCTAAATAACCACCCAAACTTTCTAATATCTAGTCTTTAGATATGGAAATTCACCCAAGTCGTCTATGCAGAGTTAATCAGGTTTTCTACCATCTAGACTTCAAGAAAACTCACTTAAACTTTCTAACAAGTTTTTCAAAGAACCTTACCTTAATTTGATTCACGAGAAATTTCCTCTTCCTGCCCTCACTTTACCCCCTAAGATGTCTCTATGAGAATGAAAGCCTTTAAGTAATAGATAATGTTTAAGGGACTTTATTTTGGTTAATCTTCACTGTGGTAAATATAGTAATATTAGTCTTAAACTTTGTGAATCTATGTACCTTTTTTTTAAAAGATTTATTTATTTATTCATATGGAACTGGGGTACAGGCCAGAGATGTGGAGGGTGAGAGGATTCACCAGAGACAGAGAGAGGAGCAGAACAGGCAGATCGACGAAGTACATTGCTGAGGGGAGCAGCGGGCGGGTCAGAAGAGGTCTGCCTCGCCATGTGGTCACCTCCGGGGCAGGCGGGAATCGAACAAAAAAAGAAGTGGCTTTAGCTTCTCAGTGCTGTGCTTTAACCCGCTGCGCCGCCAGAGAGGGCCCTATGTATCTGTTTTTAAACTTGATAGATTGATTTTTAAAATGTTATAATCTCAACTGAAGGTCAAAAAAGGACCCCAGACTATTCTTAGCAAAAAGGTGATTGTGATCTCAGCCCATTTCATATGCTAATGTCATCGCTCTGCCTGCCTGAAGTGTATAAAATAAACCTCTGCTAAAGGCAGAGCAGGAAGACTTACACCTAACTCCCATTCCCGTGTCTTCCTCGCACCTGCTCCCCTTTTCCCCCTTTTTCTAGGAATCTCTGCTCACCCACGCCATTCCCACCTTGAGACCCTGCCTGTTCTGCCCCCCAATAATCCGTGATCGGGGACAAAGTCTCTGACACCTTTCAATTGTTGGAGTTCAGGCTAATGCATTGCTTTGAGTATGTTTGTGTTTGTATAGGTGGCGGGTTGTTTGGCTTTTTTTTTTTTTTTTTAATGACTGCAAATTCTCCTACATGTTTCTCCCATTGACAGGTGAGAGCCTAGACTCCCCCTCCTCTTGAATCTGAGTGGACTTAAGACTCTTCAGCCCAACCAAGCATTGCAGAAACAGCCAGGTGATTTGCCAGGTCACCACTAAGACTACCAACAGTAAAAGACCAGGCAGCTTTTGTGTGACCTCTTGGAACCCTTGTCCACCACATGCCCCCTCACCTGAGCAGCCCAGGTCATGTGGAGAGGTTGTGTGTGAATAAGCCTGTCAACCTTCTCTGATGAGTCACTCTCCCCAGTCATCTCAGCTGAGGCACCAGAAATGTAACTGAAGTCTCCAATGGATTCTAGCCCCCAACCATTCAAATCACCCAGCTGTGAGTCTTCCTAAGGGAAACCCCAGGCGTCAAGAAGCAGACAAGGCATGCCCCCATCCCAGCTCTGTCTGAATTCCTGAAACCACGAAGGTAAAAAATGATTGTTATTTCACAGCACTAAGCTGGGGATGGCTTGCTGGGCTGCAATAATAACTGAAACAGCACAGGGCTGTGTCACTCTCATAGGGTTGGGTATTAATTCAATTCTCAAAAGGATTCAGAAGACAATCAGCCTCTCAATTCAATGAAAAACACTTCTGCTCTATATGCAAGGTTTAAGAATTATGTCTATGCTAATAAAATATATCTGTATCCATTAGAATTACATCATGGAAGAAGTAAGAAAGAAAGAAAAACTTTGATAGGGAGTAAGAGATTGATGGTACTGAGATGGGGGAAATTCTGATGCTATTTAGACTCATTATGGTGATCAATTTGTGAAATACACACATACAGAATCATTAGGTTGTTCACCTGAAATCAATATAATGTATGTCAAATGTATCTTGAAAAAAAATTTTAAAGAAAAACGGGAAAGAACAAAACCTAGTTAAAGAGAGCTTAAAATACACTCAAAAGAAGGAAATGAAGTAGAAATTTGTAGGTGGTATGTTGGACAGACTCCAAGGTAGCCCCATGATCCCTGTCTCTGGGTGGTCATATCTGAGCATAAGCAGAAAATGCTTGTAGCCTATAGGAAGTAGCAGAAGGTACTCTTGTGATTACCTTAAATAAGCCTCTATCTTGCTGGCAGATTTACTCTCCCCAATGGCCAGGTGAATTAAGAGGCCATATTGGCAAAGCACAATGGGTGGCCTCTAGGAATTACAGGTAGTTTCAAGGAGCTCCAACTGGCCTCTGAACATAAGCTTCCAGCTGTCGGACAGTCAGCAAGAAGCTAGGACCTTCAATATAGCAACCAGCAGCAAGTAAATTTTGCCAATAATCTGAGTGAACTTGGAAACAGATTTTTTTCCAGCCAAGCCGCCAGATGAGAACACAGCCCACTGACACCCCAATGCCCTCCTTAGGAGATCTAGTGCAGAGGACATATCAGATAAGCTATGCCCTACCTCTTGACCCCTGGCAACTGAAAGATAGTAAGTGTGTTGTTTAAGGCCGCCAAGTTTGTGGCAATTTGTAACACAGCAATAAAAAACTAATACAGGTAAGAAGCTATTGAGGATGAAGCAGGGGGGTAAAAAGAAGAGATGTAGCCTGAGTAACATGGAGTAAGATGGCCACAGAGTAGCATGAAGGATGATGAGCAGGTGCAATCAAGACAATGAAAGAGAAATCCATGTAAGTGTGCTTATTTGGAATAGAACAGAGACCAAGATATGAAATAAAAGTTCTAATAATATAGAGGCATGGGTAAATCAGATAAAAGGGATCAACTGTATAGTAAAGGATTTAATTGGACATTTAGTGGTAAATACACCATAGTGCATTCATTGATCTATAATGATGCACATCTGAACTTACGTGTTACAATGCAATGCTTTTTTTTTTTTTTAAGTTCCAACATGTACTGAGACTTGGAGCAAGTTATTTAAAAGAGCACTGGGCTTTGTAAGATTAGAAACAAAGCTGCTATAGCAAATATGTACTCTTCTGCTTCAATCCCATTTTTTTTTTTTTTTGATTTATTTATTTATTCATACA